GCCAGGGACCTCTTCCTCTCACTCCCTTCACTGCAGGGCAAATCCCAGGGTCATCACCACGCTCCCCTCCAGAGGCCTTCTGTCCTGTACTATCACCAGAAGCCCTCTGGCTGGAGCTGTTTCTGTCCTTTCACCCTCAGACCTTTATGTCTCTGGTCCCTGTCTCAAGAGCTCTGCTTTCTGGTCTGTGGAACTTGGCGCAGTTCCCAGTCAGCAGAGGGCCTCCTTTCCCTATGTGGAGTGGGGGGTGGGGCCTGAGGGTGGGTAGATCATGTGTTCTCAGAGCTTTCTGGTGTTTGGGAAACAGAGTTTGCCTGCTCTGGTCAGATCCTGCCGAATCTCTTCCTCCCCCATGTCTCAGGGATATGATTTGTGGCTCCCTGCCAGAGAGATCTGTGCTGCTCTTAACTGCTGTAGTTCAGCCTCTTTGAGCCTGGGGTGGGGACTTCCCTTGATGCTGAACCGTGGGAGCTGGGCAGGATGCTGCAGTGACACAGTGTTCACTGAGTTTGGGAGGATGATAGGGGGAGGGAAGAGTCTGCTTTTGTGTTGTTGGCTCTCCCAGGTTGCAGTTTAGGCTTCCCTGAGACTCTAGCTCATTTAACTCCCAAATTGAATTTCCTTTTCTGGAAAGGGATATGTAGCAAACCTATCCCAGGAGTCTGGCTTCTGCATTGTAGCCTCTGTAGTCCAGGCTTGCCTCAAACTCACGGCAATCCTCAGCCTCCATGATCGGTCTTGATTTACTTCCATACCCCTAGAATCTTTGACAGTGCTGGGCATGGATGAAGGACTCCATGAGTACTTGCCAAATGAATGACTGATGATTGAAGACGCAAGGGGAGCGCTAATGGTTGATAGGGAAAGGTCTGGAGAGGGTGGGAGAAGGGCTGAAAAGTGGAGGTGGAACAGTTGGCTTTGGCAGGGAAGAGGAGCACTTATTTCTGAGATGGGTGGGCAAGGGGAGGGATAAGGAGAAACTAGAAACATTCTGATGTGCAGGGAAGGGCTCTAAAGGGGCCGCTTCTGCTGGAGGACCTCTTTAACACTTTCACAAATAAAAGCTATAGTCACCGGCTGAGAAGTAAGGGGAGCAGAAGGCAGATCTAGACCTGGAGGACAATGCAGGCTTTGAGGATAATACTGGTTACCATTTACTTCACACTTATGTACAGAAATTGTTCCAAGCCCTTTAAATGTGTTACTCTCCTGATAAACTCAAGGATTTTATAGGTAAATGGATGCAACTAGAGTCTAAACTCCTAAGTGAAATAAACCAGACCCACATGTGCAAGCATTGTATTGTCTCTCTAGTGTAAGAAACTGAAAAAGTTAAGACCCAAAATTTATAATAGATATTGTGAAAGGGAAAGAAACTCAAAACTAAAGAACACCCGGTATGGGGGAAATGATAAAAGGAAGAGGAAATATATATAACATAGCTAAGTTAATCATACTACTTATTTCTCTTAGTTCATTAAAATGGTTTGTTTATATTATTTGATCAATTATGCATGCCTATATATTATAATCTGAGCAACTCCTTTGAAGATAATATACAATATATTAACCATTGTCAATTTCCTATTTTTTCTCTTTAAAATTGAAAAAAATAAATGTATTATTCTCTTGATGATCATCTGAGGAAAAGTTTTATTACTTTTTGTTTGTTGGTTTGTTTTGGTCTTTTTGAGACAAATTCATGCTGGCCTGAACTCACTTTTGTAGCCTAGATTGGTCTTAACTCCTAGCAATCCTGCCTCAGCCTCCCAAGTGCTGGGATTACAGGTGAGCACCACCTTACCCAGATATAATTAAGATGTGGATTGGTATGGTCTGTGTGGCAGTTAAGGTGGAATGTCAATTTGGTTTTGGGATCCACCCAGGAGACTGGTTGAGCACACTTCTAGGTGTGTCTGGGTAAATTACAGCCTATGGTCTACGTCTGTTCCCTCGTCCCTTCCTCTGGCACTGCTCCCCTTCTCTGCTGGCTGCCATGAACTAAGTTTGCTCCACTATGCCCTTCCTCTGTGCTGCCTGCCTTGCAGCTAGCTTATCATGAACTGAATCCACTGAAACTGTGAGCTAAAATAAACCTCTTCTTTAAATTGTTAGGGGCCTTTTTCTAGTGATGGGAGAGCCAATAAAGTTTGCTTATGCTGTATGTATCTCAAAGTTTCAGGTACTGGAAGCTTAGCTCCCAGTGTGGCAATGTTGGAGTAGTGGGAACCTTAAAGAAGTGGAGCCCAGAAGACATTTGGATTACTGGCTATGCTACCTTCAGAAGGAATTCCTGTAGTTCTCATGGGACTTAAGTTCCAGTAACAATGGGCTACTACAAAGACAGCCATCTCGATCTCCTGCTTCTTGTGTTGCTGTGTGATTTATTCCTCCCATAGTTCTTCTGCCATGATGACAACTACTGTGCTGTGATATACGCAGAAGGTCCTTGCCAGAGATGAGCAGATGCTAGCCCCATGTCTTTTTTTTTAGACAAGGTCTTATGATGCAGCCCAGGCTGGTCTTCAACTTGCAGGGATTCTCCTGCCTTGTCTTCTCAGTACTGGGATTATGGGCCTGGGCCATCATGCCCAGCCAAGGCCCTATACTTTTAAACAAACCTCTTTTCTGTGTTAAGTATCCAGTCTCAAGGGCTTTTGTTATAGCAAACAAAATGGAACAAGATATGGCTATACCTTACATACCCATGATTTTCATCAATTATATCTCAATAAAGCTGGGGAAAAGATGTAGAAATCAAAGCATAGAAAGGTCAATTAACTTTCATCCAAGATAATATATCTGAGAAGTAGCAGAGCTGTGATCTGAACTCAGGCAGTCTGTCTGTTGGAGCCCATGTAAAAAATACTTGCAGTTCCCTGTCTCCCTGGTCACCATGGGGCAGGTATGTGAGGGTCAGAAAGAGAGGAAGAGAACTGCACGATGACACATGGCTGGTCTAGGGAAAGTCAGCTAGAATGCTGTGACAGAAAGTTAACAAACGGCTCTCTCCAGCATTTCATGATTCCACAGTTGCAGTGTGTGGCTTTGGATTATTAGACAATACCAAGAGCCAACTTCTTCAATTTGCCTTGTCATCAGAAAGGTCCTAGTGGGTCTCCTGTACCAGAAGCCCAGTATCTGGGAGTGCACTTTCCTAACTGCAGCAAAGGATGGCCACTTTGCCTGCTGCAGTGTAAAAACTGCTTGTGTCAGACTCCATGAGTGGGGGTGCATGGGGGTTATACTCAAACGGAAACACTTACTTCTGCCAAGCCTTTGGGTGGAGATAGAAAAACTATTCCTGACAACACTGAGTCAGCACATTCATCAGTCCAGCTTATAGCTGCAAGAAACTGGAAGAGGGCCCTGGTTGAGAAAAAAACTTCCAGCTGAGGCCTCTTCAGTCTCATAGGGAATGGAATCAAAATCTACAACTTCTCAATATAGTTGGGGAACAAAAGAACCTTGCTCAGATCAGAGGTACATCCTCTTAACGGTTACAGAGTTCAAATTGGAGCCTCTCCCCACAAAGTACACTTATGTACTCCTTGCCCTAAGAAGTAATAAAAGTTCAAAACTGGTTTTCAAGTTGTAAAATAGTGTGAAAAGAGGCCATTTGGGAATCATGGCTAACCTACTGAGATTATGTCAGTAATTACATCTGGGTCCTCCCCAAATATGTATGTTAGGATTTGTCAGACTTCTGGGGCTGGAGGGATCATAATCTGAGAGTGTGACATTTATACGCATAAAGGACAAACATCCAGCCAGATGCCGTGATGTGTGCCTGTAGTCTAGCTACTGGGGGTGGGGGGCTGAGACTGGAGCTTAAGGCCAGCCTTGGGCAATGTAACAAGTCAGAGTCTCAAAAACAAAAAAACAAAAACAATCAATATCCCTTCCTCTAATGAAGCCATTGTGTTGTCTGTACCTTTAGCATTAAAATAAAGATACTTGGGTTGCCTATGAAATTATGTGAGTTCTTCATTAGCAATACATGACTTCTCATTTAGGAGGGCAAATACAGTGAACATTCTCAGTCCTGAAGATCAAACCCAAGGCTTTGTACATAGTCCTCCACCACTGATCCGTGCCTCCAGTCTGAGAATTCTTATATTTCCCTGTGAGGCAGGTGATGACAATATAGGCATAGCTGTTGAGAACTACAGCAAAGTTAAGCAGCATCCAGTGACATACGCTCCCTCATCAGCTCTCAGCTGACTTTTCACACAACATTTATTCAGAAAAAATTGCAATAAATTATAATAAAAAAAATGACATGAAATACAGAATCCCACTAGCAGCTTTGCTTAGTGACCAAGAGAAATATAACAACCACAGAATAAAAATCAGAAAACGGTAAAAGAGAGACTAATGCAGTGTCACCCATGGGTCTGAACCATTTCTTCTCTAAAATGGTAGGTGTAGAGGACTCTGCTCCTACCAACTGGATCTGAAAACCTTAATTCTGATGAACTATGAAACAGCACGTTGGAAGATGCAGGAATTAGTGGCTGGGGTGCTGGGGGCAGGCATGGTGGGTAAGCAGATGTTTTATGTCTGGTCTCTGTCTTGTCCCCCCTAACTAGAGATTGTCTAAAACCCTCAACCCTGTATACATCACAAGATGAGCTGGGCAAAGGCTGAGGCAGTAAACCATCATGGTTCTTTGACTTGATGAAGTAAGACAGGGCACTGTGTGCATGCTGCACAGGGGCTTTACTAATCATATCTTTGGTCACCCAAGACACCAAGTTGTCAAGATACTAGAAAATGGACCCAGGGAAGGCATTTTCTGTGCTACAACCCTGCCCCAGCTATTATCTCCTTCTCTGGCCTAACAGATACAGAACTTCTGCATTCCATACTCCACTAGCTAAGTCCACCACCAGCCCCTACCTAGTAGATCCTCAGCTACTTGGCATACGTAATGTGATGACTAGTTCTCTATCTCCCAATCAAGAAAGGACTTAACCAGTACATCACAGGATACATACCTTTTCTTCCCCAGGGAACTCAACTTTCAAGAGACAGGGGAGCTGTAGAACCATTCAGTGGTAGAGTGGAGTATCCCCTGGCCCTCTCCTTGGATGGGTTAGAAGAGTCATGGAATCAGTGCCTAGGACAGCACAGTCTGTACATGATGCTCCTTGTATCTTATGTTACCACGCAAGAATGAATCAACTTTAGTGAAAGAAAACCATGGGAAGCCAGTTCTGCAGTCAGTGGCTGGTGGCTTGTCAACCAACAAATTATATTTTTTAAAAGGCTGTCCCACAAAGCTTGAATAAATGAAAAAGCTCAGAGGGTCCTCTTGAGTGGGAGAGGTAAGGTGTGTAGCTGGTCCCACTGACCAGTCTTTCTTACGCAACACTGGACAGAGATTGGGGGCCAAGTGGAATCTCTGTATCCTTCACTTGAAGGAGCTGGGTGAGGGGTCCAGACAGAGTCAGCTCTGCTGAGGGAGGGGGGACTATCTGTCCTTTGGTACGTCAGAAGATTGGAGAATGGGTTCTCACGGTCATCCTCAACACTCTTACTGAGGGAGGTGCAATAACTCCAAAGGGGCCTGCTTGAAGTACACAGACTCCCTTGTTTACTGCGGTATAAGTGTTGCTCTGAAGGCAGACTTCTAAGTGGGGATGGGTCTTCTAATATCCAGGCTTGATCCTCATGTAAAATGTGAATCATAATAGGAAGAGAGAGCAGGAAGCATACTCTGTCAAACATGAACACTTATATTCTTAAAATACTCAAAGTGCTTCCATTTTAAGTGTGATTCTCTTATACTGACACGATGCCGTCTTTATACTTCCTAAAGTTAGTTAGTAAATGTGATCTGAGACAAGAACATACGGTCCCACCTGGAGTAGATCCAGGAAAAGGCCAATGTTACAGTGACATACAGATGCCACTGTAGTAGAAATGCATGAATGCATGAACGACCACAGGTGGACAGTGAACTCACTGTTGAGGATACCCAAGGAGTCAGTCTTACCCAGGATTCCTTCAAAGTGATAGAATGAGTGGAGTACAGTGCAAAGGAGTGATGGGAAGAAAGTGGGTCCAAAGTGCTTTGTACAAAGGGCTGAAAACAAGTCTTGAGCAATACCAAGTAGTGTTTTTAGGGCTAGAATGTGAAAATCTCACAATGAAGGCCTGGGGTACCAAGGACAGCTATGACAACTTGGCAGAAGGCAACAAATACATCCTTAGGTAAAGGAGTATAAATACCTCTTTGCCTTATAAAGAGAAAACATCAAAATATGGTAACTTTGGCTTGGCAGTATAAGTCTACAAGTATTCTGCTGTGGAGGATATGGCGAAGGAGGGATTTTGTAACACTAAAAGAACTTGAGATTCCACAATAGACCTTTCCTGTGGCATTACTCTTCCAATCATTCTGACATAATTGGAGCCCAAGATCTTCCTCTTCTAGAATCTCAGAGAAGAAAACACTTAGTCTTCATCACTTCCGAGCAGAAATCCCAGAAGGAACTGGATGGCACGCTGGCGGTCACTTGATGTCGGTCTTGCCATAAGGTTTGGCGGAGGCCTTAGGAGAAGACTGGTGAAGAGAGTAGCTAGAGGGTGAGAGAAAGAAACGAGGATGTTTCTTAGACATGATCTAAGCAAACGCTCAGGGTTGGTGGGGTCAGAGGAGCAGGATAGGAGGAGGAAAGTGTCTGCTACATGCCTGACAAGGTATACATTGTACACCATCCCACTATTATAGGTCATCCCACACCCCTATGTAGCCATTCTGATAAAGTACCCTTACCGATCATGTTAGCACTGACGTTGTTGTATTCAGAAAACTTCAAGAGTTCTCGAAGGAATGCCATCAGGTAACGGAAAACATTTCTATGGCATCTTGGAAGCTGGGAAATGATCTGTTTTTTAAAGATGGACAGTGAAGAAAATGGAAGAAGAATTTACAGCTGCCAAAATAGTAATTCATATAATTCTAACTTTACAGACCCCATTCATGTCTCACTTACCTCTATTGCCTCTATCATTCATGACCAACATAATACTTGCCAAATTATAACTCTGAAGAAAGGTCATATTACTTAGTCCCTGTCTATTCACTAACGATGCCATGCAGACATCAACAGACACAGATATAGACACACACACACACACACACACACACACACACACACTTTCACAAGGTACAAATAAAATAAAATAAAGTAAAAAAGAAGGAAGATCTTAATCTGTTCTCCCCTTTCCTCAGATAGGTAGCTAAGGCATTTGCCAAGGTGAATGGTTTTTTCTACTGTCATTCAGCATCAACTGGATCTCCTCCCAGTACTCACTAGTCTGATTCACAAGTAGTCTCAGCTATTGTCAATCAAAATCATTTCAAGATTAAAAACACACCAAGAACAAAAAAACCAAAACTCCCAAATGTTAGCCACCCCGGTCTTACCTCAGGCTAGAGGTATCCACCCCACTATGTTTTAGGTAAACAGAGATAGGCCAACTGGGAAAAGGTGACAAATATAACAGCAAACAATATAGCCTAAAACTCAAGGAGCTCAACTCTCAATGCTGGTGTCCTAACATTTAGATCTATTAGATCTATCCTACTACATAGCTGGCTGGCTATCTGGCTTTGTAAAACTGATGATTTCTCTGTAGAAGAACCTGCCCCAAACATATCCTCAGATCAATAAAACTTACCTGTCGGCAGATCCTAGGATCATGAGCAGAGTCAAGACATCGTTGATACAGCTCGTAACAGATGACTGGTTCTGGCAGGGCTTCCAGGAAAATGAGCAGTGCTTCAGCCACAGAGTGATTACTGCCAGCTGAATCACCTTATGTCAAGGGAAAGGGCTCCAGAAGAGAGACCACACACTTGATTGGCTCCTTTCCTGCCAGAAGGGCTTTTTCTTTTATTTGGGCACAATGATCCTAACTGGGGTTTGATATTTTATTGGTCCAAGCACTCTGCAGCTGAATTGTTGTTAGAGAATTGGTCAAAGTCGTTTGTAAGGTTGGCCCAACTTTAGACTTGGGAATACAGCCTGAAGAGTGATAGCTCTTTCCTGATCAGAACTATACACTAGTTGCCAGTGGTTTCCATTCTTCTGCATAGTGGTAGTATATGTGGGGGTAGGGTGGCTTTCTGGCTGAAGGAGAACAGTACCAGTGGGATGGCTCCTAGGCTTCATGCTTACTAATAGTCACTGTTACGTACCCTTTGATTTCTTAGTAATAACAGCTTGAAAGGAACTGAGAAACAACTAGATAGTCAGAAACTATCTTATAATAAAATACGATTGAAAAGAAAATAAATGTACAAATAAAAACCAAATGTAGATGGAAAGAAGAGTTTGGCCAAGTACCAATCCAGATTTCTAAACCCTGGGCCAAAAGGATACGGATTGTCTCTGGGATGCTGGTATCCAGACAGTCAATAATCTGCTGTAACTCTTCCTGCATTCCAGGGGTTTGGAACAGGTCCTCCTACCACAGAAGTCAGAATGAAGGCAACAAGGCAAGACAAATCACCACTTAAGTTCTAAAGTTTACTCAGGGGTTGGGACAATCACGGAGGTATGAAAATAACAGTTTTCCCTATATCATCTCTAATACATGTGACTATTTTAAACAAGAAAATGATCTTCGACAGCTTTAGCTTATTTATGATAAGGTAGGGAGATAGATGGCCAGATCAGGAAAGCAGGTATTCCACTTCAAGCCTCTCAACAAGACGGGTGAATGCAAACAGCGTGATCATGTTCAAATACCGACACGACTGAATGCTGGGAAAGGAGTAAATGCAGCTAATCCTTGCTTTCAAGCTATATTACTCTTCAGTAGGTAAGAAAATATCACCTTTCACTTTGGTTCAAGAAAGGTCTTGTTTGGGTAAATGCATTGAGGGTGGCTAGTGTTTTTGGAGGGATTTAAGACCAAATTAAAGAAATGGGCTTGAAGTTTACTTGGGCTTTAAAATCTGTATTGGCTCAATGACAGCATTATAGACTCAGGTACTCAGCTGTCCAGGAGGGTGCAGAACCAGGAAACAGGTATTCAGAGTCCTGGTGCTGGCTCTGACCACTTAAGACTGTGGTCTGGAGTAAATCACTTAGCTCGCAGCCTTTGACAGTCACATCTGAATAAGGATGCTTCTGTCTACCCAGGCAATCTGACAGTGCTGCTGTGGTCACGTGGGAAAGTTATAAGCATTATGCTGGTTCTCACAGGACTCGCACACTTTCTGAAGTTGTATGGAAGGTCTACTCTTACTTACCTGGTGACATGCATATTTGAATAAGTGATCTACTAAAAGCCAGATCTCCTTGGGGACCTGAAGTGGTCTCTCACTGGCACCTTCATCCAAGGGAACCATCTGTAGGACGGATTTTTCCTAGTACATGAAAATAGATGAGAATAAATGGGGTCTCAGAATAATCACTTAGCCTTCAAACACTTAAGTCTTCTTCATCTCTTAAGAGTTTTTGTTTTTTCTCACTGGGGTACACCTGGTCTGAAGGCACTCCACGTTGATCCTCACAGGTAAAGGATCACCTTTCTTCAATCATTAAGTATTTCATTCAGGTTTATGATGTTTATCATCTGGGTGAATTGTGTGGTTTCAATGTTTTTTTCAAGGAGAACATTGAGGACTAGTGCTTTAGTGATCCAACAATCCATATACCACCAGTGACTTATGGACTATTAAATTACAGTTGTCAAGACAGTACTTTGAGTGACCATGTGTATACTTAAGTTTCAATTTATTTTTAAATCACTCTTCCTTCAGGTTTTATCACAAATACTACTGTTTTCACTACTGCTTTAATTGAGCTTCTTTGGTTTTCAGGAATTAAAGACAACTCTCCACAAGACCCACACATGTCAGGGTTGATAGAAATTCAAATCCTAACGTATTGAAACTCATAAGCCTTAATATCCAATTAACAGTAAACTGAATACAGCATCTGAAGAGCCAGAAATCCCATGAAAAGTTTAAGGTCTAAAAGCAGGAGTCATTGTTTATAATAACTCAGCAAATATTTCTAGGGGCTTTTACTCTTTTTACCTACCTGTCTATCTCTTAGATTCTTTTGGAAGAATGCAAGAGAAAAATCCAGAAGTGACATAAATCAGATCAGTAACTAAATTTGAACTTTAAAGTGATTAGAGTATCAACTTTCATCCTTCAGCACTAAAAAAAACTACCTTGTTACCTTACATCTATGTAGTCAGTTATAAATTATATAAAAAGTTAGTTAAAATAGATTAAAAGGCACTTGAAGGCAGCTTTCAAAAATCCTAGTGGGGAAAACTGCCTGATTTTTGCATCTTCCTCCCTTCTCTACCTCCAGATCACACATTATGTATGTTCAACTTTAAGAAACTTATGCCTAACATTGTGCTACTTGTAAATTCCTTCCAAAACCACCAGCCATGTAGCTTCAAGGGAAAGAAAATAAACATTTCATTGTTTTCATCGAATCACATGTAATACAACAGTGCCAAGGTGTCTTTTATCCTATGTTTTTGAATAAGCACTGATGACCTTTTAAGCTACTGCGCCTTTCTAAGGGCAAAAGGAAGACAAGTGAGCATGGCAGCTGGTTACTGTTATATACATTTACATTTACTTTGCTTCCTTTGCCTGGAAGTCTATCACCTATAATTTCTGTTTACTATGGTTGTCAGAACGTCTGTTCGTGTTTCACCACTGACCTTTTTTTCATTCCAAGTATTAAATGCAGATATCCACACAATATCTGAGCCAAAACACTGTCCACATTGTACTCTGCTAACCTTCTGAACCAAATGCAACACATGTACAGATTCTTTAGTATATGCCTACAACCTTAACATACATAAATTATTCATTATAGATTCATGTGCTTTAAAAAAAAATCTGCCAGCCCAACTGCAGCTTTTCCTGTACTAATGCATTAAGGCAACACAAGGCAGTGTCTGGGATGAACAGACAGAACATATACTCTCTTAACAGGAAAGGGCTGGGAAGCAGTCTCAAAACAATGGTTTAAAAGGTTAATAAAATGTCAGTAGGTTATAAACACCACCCATTACCCATTTTCAGATTCATGTGAGATAATACTAAATGTCATACTTGGGTCTCTAAAATCCAGAGAAAGATATAATAAGGGAGAACAAAACAATGCTTTAAAAAATTCTACAAATTACTCAGAACTCTGATTTTCAAAGGGAAACTGAGATATTTTGCTTTCTTTCAACAAGGCACACTCCCTGCCTGCTACACCTGTACTTCATATCTTAGTGCTACTAACTAAAGCACAAAAACAGTGTAACACTCCTACCAGCAAAACGCCTTTGATTCCACCCAAAGGGGAGGTCCTACTACTGTACGAAAGTGTTATACAACATCTTCCAAGCCCAGGATCCTCCTCTGCTTGATACACTGTGTGGAGCTGAGCACATTCCAGTTGAAGATGCAGACGCTGTGAGGCATGGGAGAAGGGGCACCTCACTGGGCAGTCAGGAAACCTGGGTTCTAGCGTCACTGTATCTCATTCCCCTGCTGTCAGGGTTTCCTATATTTTTGGGCCTTGGTTGTCTGGTCTACTACAATGGAGAAAATAACCTTTCCCTGTCTGAAGGCAGAGCACGAGACCAGATGATTTCTCATGAGCTCGTATATCCTCACAATTCTATTCTATTATGCTCTCTTTCTGGACCTTAGCTGTGAATTATTTTAGTAATTAATCACCCTTATCAATGGCCCTGGATTACTCTCTTTTTTTTTGTCTTTTTCTTTTTTTTCGGTACTGGGGATTGAACTCAGGATCACACACTTGCAAGGCAGGCACTTATGCCGCTGAGCTAAATGCCCAGCCCCCCCCCCTCTGGATTACTCTTAATGCAACATAAATGTACTTCTTTTGGTTTTACTACCATTAGAAATGGGACAGCTAAGCAGCATCTTCCTTCAGCTTATAAGCTTTCAGGTGTATCAAGGCAACTCTGGGCTGGACGCGTAGCTCAGTGGTACAGCACTTTCCTAGCCTGCACAAGGCCCTGGGTTCTATCCCTGACCCTGTTACAAATGAACACCCACTCCCTAAACAAGAATAAACAAAACAACCATAAAAGAAGTCACTGTAGTTACTTGTTAATTCAAAAACACAATTCTGGTCAGGGGTGGAACTTACTTGCCCTGCACCACAAAAACAAACCCCACAACTCTGGAACCTTGAGCTGCACTGCTCTTATGAATTGAGTCTCAGTAACTTGACTGAGTAAACAGGCTTTGAACACCCTTAAAGACAGCTGGTAAGACTGTAGGGGATTCTCACCGAGTCAGAGGTCTCTAATATGGACATGCCTAGGGACAAATTTCAGGGACCACAGTTAAGTGTTAAGCAAACACATGGACACTCTCATAAGCACCAATGGATTGCATTACCTTTTCTAGGAAGCTGTCTTCTTCCTGAGAGCACAGCAGGAAAAAAAAGTCATTGATAGATAGAAAATGGTTAGAATTAATTTGCAGAATTAGAAACAGAACAGTATTAGAACTCACAAGGTTACTAGATACATACACTTTTAGGAGCTCTGACTTCTTAAATATGATTGCTAAACCTTGAACATACTCCCCACATACAAAGTTCTGTATTGTTCAGTTTATTAAGAGTATCACCCAGGAAATGTATGTCTTCAGGGCCAGACTGCTGTGCATCCTGCAAGCTGAGCTATGAAATGCCCACTGATGTCTGTTCCTGTCAGTCTGCTGATCGGTGTAGCTCCTTACCTGACCCCAATGTCATTGCAATGGAGGAATTTGCATTTGGTCCTAACAGTGGCAGCTGGAAGCAGGTGATACACTGCTCTCCTTTCCACAGCTACTCCTTTCATCCCAGCCAGCCTTCTAAGCATCGTCTCAGCTTCCTTTCTGTCTTCGCTTAATCACCACCCTCCAAAGAGCCCCAGAGTTCCTAGATTTGAAGGTTCTTCTGAAATTAATGAATTTTCTTTCAGACCATTGTGAATCATAAGATCCATCATTACTTTTATTTTCCTAGTAGGTATAAGATAAAAAAAAAAAAAGCATAGCATGGAAAAGGGAAGAAAGTAACTTCTGACTTTTCTCTGTCTTATATTCTATTATTACCATCTGGTGACAACCAGTTATAATAATTGCTACTTAAGGGACATCTGCCATATTCCAAGAACTGTACAAACTGCTTATATACAAAGTATGTCATTTAACCTGCACACAAGTACAAAGTAGTATCATTTTCATTTTACAGATGAAGAAACTGAGGCTCTGAGAGGATAAATGATTTGTCCAATGTCTTTGTTAGGTAGTAAAGGTCAGAAGCAGGATAGGAACCTAGGTCTGACTAAGTCCAGAGTCATTCTCACCCTGCTCACTTAGGACAGCAAAACTGCTTCTTGGATGGTGCGGCAGGAAAAGCTGTGACAATGTATTCTCCATAACAAGCTGAAGACAGTGAGAAACCTATTCACAAGAAGCATGGTTAACAGAAAGAGGACAGGCATTATGTTAGGCAGCCTCTGGTACAAATCTTCCTGCTGCATCTTGTTAATTCTCTGTAGACCTCAGGCAAGATACCAAACTCCTCATTGCCTAAGTTTCTTCATCTCTAAAACAGGGATAACAATATATACCTTATAGGCATAACGAAACAGTCTAACACCAAGGGGTGGTGGGGCCCACCTCCCCAGCAACTTCCTACTGGGTTCCTCCTGTTCATGCTACAGGCTGCTAAGAACTCAAGCATAAATTGCATGGCTTGGGTCTGTAGGTAAAAGGAGAAATCTCAGTGTCACTGCCTGATATGCATGAGAGCCAGAAGGAGGGACAAATATGTATTCTCTGACATTCCAAGTGGTAATGCTGAATGCATTTTCTCCCAACTATTGTTATATGTGGCAGTTAGGTTTTCTAAAATTATTATATTATAAATTAAACACGCTTTCATGTGTTTACTTAGGCTCTTAAAAACCACACGAAATAAAGCAATCAGGGTAATAGTTCTTTATAAAGTATAAATTATAATTTTGTAATTATAATTTGCTTTTTAATGTAAAGTTAATTTTGAGTGCCAAACATCTAATGTAATACAATTTTGGACTACAACCTTGCATAAAATTTAGGAGTACTTGTTAACAAAGAGAGAATTCCTCTGTCTGACAGACTTTATCTGTTTCTTCCTATGAAAACATAACACACAATATAAGTAAAAGTAGGTGGAAATGTTATATACTAACCTGTCAAACAAGGCCCTGAAAGAAGTTTTCTTTGAGTGATGACCATCTACCAATGCAAAGCACTGTGCTAAATACCTTTGGGGAGAGGGCAATAAGAAATGAGGATATACAAAGAAGAAAGATGTGGTTGGTCTCTCACCCTGGTTTGCAATTGATCTGGGGTACAGAGTCCCAGAATTCCTGGTCTGACATTGTTATAATTTTCATGTACAATTTCTCAATAAATGGTTATTAGCCCCAAAAGACTCATAGAATTTTTTTCCACACTGCTGGGGATAGAACCCAGGGTTTTGTGCATAGTATAGGTAAACATTCTACCACCGCAATTTAACCTGTCCCCCAATTCACAGGATTTTATATTTTAAAATACTGATAAACATATTAATCATGGGGTACTGGTACATACACATATTGCATTTTAATTCTTTCTTCTCCTACTCCTCCTTTCCCTCTATCCCCAGATTCCTTTCCCATCTCCACAAAGTCTGTTGCTCTGTTTCCTATCATCTTTTATTTTGCTCTGTAAATTAGTTATACTTTGGGTTTGTCATATAAGAGAAACCATGTGATATTTAACCTTCTCTGATTTATTTCATAGGATTGTAAAGGGTAGAGATAAAGAAGGTGAAAGAGGCAAGCAAGGCACAGTGATAGAGCCAAAGGCACAGATGAAGAGCAGGATAAGTCTGTGGGAAGATAAATAAAGAGAATGTGGAGAAAAATAGTGGGAAATAACCCTGACCCTGAAGAACAGGGTACGGAATTTGAATTGTATTCAGCTGACATGGGGGAGCTGCCGACTAACTTTAAGCAAGGAAGCAACAGACCCCAAAGCAGTACTACAGCAAGATCAATGTCAGCAGAAGAAATTGAAAGAAAGAGAAAAACACAGGTAAAGGGAAATATTAAAGACTAACAAGGCAGATCAAACAGGAGACAGCAAACACTTTAATACTGGGGGGAAATGTGTAAGTATTTTTAAAAAAGAAGAGGGATATGGCTCTAGGTCGAATCTCTGGCATGTGAAAATGCAGTTTTCTCAGTACCATTTATTAAGGAGGCTATCTTCCTTCCAATGAAGGTATTTGGCTCCTGTGTCAAAGACAAGGTAGCTGAGTGTGCTTATGGTTATTTCTGCACCTTCTAATCTGTTCTACTAATCCTCAAAGTCTGTTTTATTTTTGTTTGTTTTGTTTTGCCAATATCATGTTGCTTGGATCACTGCAGTTTTGTAGTATTTCAAATCAGGGATTGTGACACACACTGCTTGACTGCACAGGAAATATTAAAGAGAATGAACTGGGGTCATGTCTTATTAAAAAAACTTTTGCACAGCAAAAGGAACTATCAACAGAGTGAAGAAACAACCTATAGAATGTGAAAACATTTTACAGGTGCTTCTCAGACAAAGGACTAATACCAAGAATATAAAGAACTCAAACAATTAGATCCTCCAAATTTAAAGATCCAATCCAAAAATGGGCATCTGAAATGAACAGACATTTCTCAGATGAAGCAATAGAAAGAGCAAATAAAATACATGAAAAAAATTTTTGGCAGTTCTAGTCATTCAAGAAATGCAAATTAAAACAACAGTGAGATTCCATCTCACTCCAGAAAGAATGGTCATTATTAAGAAATCAACCAATAACAAATGTTACTGAGGCTACTGGTGAAAGTGTAGACTGGTGCAATCACTGTGGAGATCAGTATGAAGATTTCTCAAAAAAAAAAAAACGAAATTAGACGTTCCATTTGATCCAGCTATTCCTTTTCTAGGTATCTTCCTGAAACAGTAAACCATCATGCCACAGTGACTTATGCATATCCATGTTTATAGCAGTACAATTTATAATAGCAAAATCTTGAAAACATCCTATATGGCCATCAAAAGATGAATGGATAAAGAAAATGGAGTATTTATATACAGTGGAGTACTAAACTTGAGACATTTTTAGGTAAATGGATGCATGACCACAATCTTTTTTTTTTTGAGACAGGGTCTCACTTTGTAATGCAGACTGGCTTGCAATTTGTTATGTAGCCCAGGTTGACCTGGAACTCACAGTGATCCTTCTGCCTCAGCCTTCCAAGTGCTGCAATTACAGGCATGTGCCACTATGCCTGGCCTTGAGACCACAATTTTATGTGAAAGAAATCAAACACACAAGTTTAAATATCACATTGTTTCTGTTGTATGATAAACCCAAATGGTAAATAAGGAACAAAATGGAAGATAGATACTGGGAAGTAGGAAGAAGTTGTTCAAATGAGAAGAGGGACAAAGGAGGGGGAAAGGGCAAGGGAAGGATGGACAAAGGATTTAAAAAGAGAATATAAGGAAAAAAATGGAAACAGAGCATTTGTAAATGGGGAGAGGAATAAAGGTTAAAGTTAAGGGAGGGGAACGGGAAAAAAGAATTAAGATATATTATGTATGGGCACAAATTCCCCATGATGAATATGATAATTATGTATGACAAACATGTACTAATACAAAATTTATGGATAGGCTGGGGATGTAGAGCACTTGCCTAGCATGAGTGACATCCTGGGTTCTATCCCCAGCATTGAAAGAAAAAGAATGGATAGATAAATGAAAAAGAATGAAGAGAAAATTATCAAAAGAGAATAAAAATGATTTTAATTAAAAACAGATGCACATTATATTTAATAAACTGCTAATCTCAATTTCGAAAACAGAAGCATCACTTTACCTTCACTAATAAACAGCCTACTCCTAAGGTGCTCTTAAAGTTATTACCAATCACTGTTCAATGGACTTAAAAGGACAGAGATGCCACCCTTTGCAAAAGGCTATGTATCAATCTCACAAGAGGGACACAATTCAGAATTTCCCGTGGGACAACACTGGCATTGAGCAACTGCAACGCAAATCGTTGTTTATCCCAACATTTACTCTCAGAAGGCTGTTCCCGGCAGTGCATGCAGCCAAAATAATATAAAAGAGTTATTGAGGAAAGCAGAAAACTGGATGGAAATTTAAGTTCTCCAAAGATTTAGTTCACATGAAATACAGAGTAGAAACAAACCATATACCTAACAAGATTAAGAAATGAGTGGTTAGATCAGTAAGACAAATATTTAGTGAAAATATCACTAGGGACAAATTAATCATCAAGTTGTTATTTTTGTTATTTGAATTTTTGATATCCTAATAGATGTGCTCCCAAGCAAATACAGTTTCTCTACTATTTATCAAAAGTTTTCACCTCTTATTTATAACCAACCCTTACCCTGACCTAGCAGTTCAAGGCTGGTCTCCTTTCCATTAGATTGTTCTACAATCAAAAGCAGAATGTTTCTTCCAACATATCAATTTATGACATCATGCTGGCCCTCAAAGCCTTTTGAAGGTTCTAGATTCCCCCTAGCTCAAGCATAAACTCATCTGCTGACCTGAGACTTTGTATCACCAGCCCTTACCCTAACAAATCAGTTTTATATGCTTCTATCCTTAACCTTCACTATTTCCAAGGAAATCTTACAATTTTCCATATATGGTCTTTTCATTTTCATTTTATTCTTTATATTCAAGATGCCCCTTGTGCCTGAAAAAGCCTGTTAACCCAATATATGAATACTGTATATGTTTCTTAAGTACTTGGATTTAACTGAAACTACTTCTATGAGTAACCCCCAATCATTTTCTTAATTTGCTTTATTCATATGTACTAAACTTATTTCTAGGTCATGCTAATGTTACATGCATAAACATTAAAACCAAAATAGGCTGTTTCTGCCATTGGTGTTTTTATAGATATCAGCCAGTTATTCAATAAGCTTCAACAGCACATAAAGCCTTGAGTAAACAGCACATGAAAGGAAACTATTGTTAATACAAATTACCAACTCCAAAGTATTCATTTTAAATGATTTTCCAAAATACTTACCAAACACAGTGGACATTAGCCATTAAAGAAGGTTAATGTTCAGATGATCTCTAACCAAAGTCTCTAGGAGCCATGATTTAGGGCTTAGTCATATTGTACATGCAAGTATAGGAACCTCTGAATCCTCCATATACTTTATATCCAATGTTTAAAAATATTATTTGCTATTTAATATACTAGTTAGTAAAACAGGAAAAAAAACTATGGTAATTCTAGAAAGAATAAAGATAATTACAAACTATAGACTGTCATTTGCTTTCCACTTGAGCTAATCCCAACCATTATAAGAACAGGGGCTGGGGATTTAGCTCAGCAGCATAAGCGCCTGCTTTGCAAGCAGGCAGTTGTGAGTTCGATCCCCGGTACTGATAAAAAGGAAAAAGACAAAAAAAAAAAAAAGTAACAAAGTCACTGTTTGTGAGAAAAGTGAAAAGACAAAAAAAAAAAGTAACAAAGTCACTGTGAGAAAAGTAGGAAAATGTGTGGCACGATTTGTCTGAAACAGTTCATGTAGGGTAAGCACATGTATCAAGCTTACTTTTAGCTTTATCATAATTTTAGAGTATATAATATAATAGAGGCCATGTACCAATATTAATATATCATCTCATGGGATTTCAAATATCATCTTGGGTCTTGGGAAAAAAACCATGGAACATATATTAGACTTAAACACATATCTCAGGATGGACATGGTGGCACAAGCCTCCCAGCTCCTTGGGAAACTGAGACAGGAAGATCCCAAGTTTGATGCCAGCCTGGGAAATTTATTGAGATCCTGTCTCAAAAAATAAAATTAAAGATTGGGGATGTAGCTCAGTGCTTCTTTGGTTCAAACCTCAGTACTGAAAACAAAGAAATTTTGAAGGTCAAAATCAAGTCAGGATAGAGCTGAAAGATATTAAAAATGGCATATTGATTATTTTAGACTTCTTGTTTACTGCCTCCCGACTAATATAGATAATTTCCTCATCTGCTAGATATAGGAATTTAGTAACACTGAAACACAACTGGATGTGAGAATATAAATTTAAAGAAGCTGAGCAATTCTATAATCAAAAATTATCAGAGGTCTATTTTTTTAAACTTTGAATCACTTTGGTACAAAAGGATGATGGCTCTTTATAAAGTCAATTTTCCTAATGATCTTGACTTTGTATTATGGGCAAATGTGATGGGATTACCTGATAATATATTTTACATAAAATAAAAACCTTCTATGCTTGTGTGTTTCCTTTCAGACACTTCAAGAACATGAAAACAATTATGGAAAAGGTTATAAGTCTAACCTCTACTGACACTGACCAAAAATAAGTCAGGTTCCAGTTTACAGGAAATAAAAAGGGAAGAGAGAATATACAAGGGTAAGTTTAAAAATAACAAGAATCAACAATCAGGCAAACTTAGGAACTGGTTGACTGGACAAATATACTGTACTCTTAAAAGTCAATGGCATTAATGAAAAAGTAAAGAATTGTTCTATTCTGAAATAGACTAGAGCTGGGAGTGGTGATGCACCTGTAATCCTAGCACTCATGAGGCTGAGGAAGGAGGATCACTGTGAGTTTAAGGCCAGCCTAGGTTACATAGTAAATTCAAAGCTAGCCTGAACTACATAGTGAGACTCTGTCTCCAAAAATAAACAAGCAAACAAACAAACAGACGACAGAGACCTTAACAGCTGTACTGCATAAACCCAGATTGCATTTTGTTTTAAAGAAGCTATTCTTTGTATAACTGGAAAAATCTGAAAATGGACTATGTGTTTAATGATATTGCATTGTTTATATATAGACATTCCTCCTTTTTCTTAAGAGATGTAGGCTGAAGTGCTTTGTAGTAAAATGACAAGCTATATCGCTTAATTTCAAATGGTACAGAAGAAAGTGTGTAACTGTGTGTGTGCGTGTTTGCATGTATGTGCACGTGTGCGCATGCCTAAGGCATGGGGGTTCACTGCATTGTTCTTTAAATTTTTCTGTATATTTGACATTTTTTCAAAATAAAAGTTGGGACAAATAAAACTGGGAAGTGGTGTTTGGGATGAAGGGAAGAGGGCAGAAAAAATATCACTCTGAATGTATTCTAAATGACAAAACACTAAATTTGAAAGACAAGTATATCGTGACAGAAGAAAAAAAAATTATCATCAGAAACAGCAGGATGGCAGCATATGAGCTTTTGAAGAAAACAGTTCTGCCTCAAACAGAGGTAAAACAGTCATGACAGTTCTAGGGAAACAAAGTATGATTTCAATAAATAATGCTGGGACCAGACTGAAGTGTTTTAATCTGCTATGTTAATCTCAGCTAGAACAATTCCATGGCAACAGAACAGCTTCCCCTCAAGCCAGCCGCCAGCCTGCTCCTCTGCCTCTCCTCTAAATGAAACACTCACTTGCAGAGACGAGGCCAGAAGGATCACTGTGAATACTAATGGTAACTAGAATGCCTGGCTGCCATCTCATTTCATTTTCTTTGGTAAAAAACCAAGGGTATATGTTTGGAACTCAAAGAGGTCTGCCTACAAATCTAATAATATTTTCATTAGAAGAAAAGTTTTTAACAGTTGAACTTGATATTAAATTAACTTATGTTACTGAAAGTAATATGCATTTCCTTCATAAAGACATTCATACAACTTGGTTGTGGGGAGGACAGAGAAAAATCTCTTCCTTTCCTTTTTTGAGTCACATTAAGTAAGCATCAAGCTTTGAGATCCTTTATACTCACTGGGATGCTAATAAAATGCAGGCTCTTGGGCCCCACAATCAAATTCTGCTGCCAGAGGTGAGCAGGAGTTGGAACCTGTACTTGCAATAGGCACCAAACGTTCTGATGCAGTTACTCCAAGGTTCCATCCTAGCCGACACTTTTATAAGCAGCGCAGTTTTACTGTGATTAGCTGGAATATAGATAGCATAAGAAGGAATCCTGGCGTGGGAGCCAGATTTGCTGCTGCCAGTGAGTGATAGACTTGCCACTAACTTATTTAACTTTTGGCAAATTAGTGTCTCTATGCCTCAGTTTTCTCATATGCTTCATGAGAATAATACTGCCTGTTCCACTTACCATACATGTTAATTTATGTAGAAGGGTCTTGAGAGCATAAAGCGCTTAACAACTAAGTATTACACTTTTGATGTGAGTGCTTTTAATGTTACTTGGGGGGTTTAACATTATCTATTATGTTTCCAACAAGAAATACAATATTTAAATATAACATTTCCACAATTAGTTTCTCTTCTTTCTTAGGCTTAATCTGCCAGCCCTTCTACCCCAAAAGAAAGCACAGAGATCATGAGGATATCTACTGAGCACTGAAAAACTTATGTGCAAAGGCTTACATCATAGGATGCTTCTTACCAAGTCTATGAGTTTGGTGACCGGAACTTCTCTGATTGGTCTTTTCATTCGGCACAAAGCCTCTAATGATGTACCAAAACAGCTTGGTAGGTAATTTCCACTGATTGTCAGGAAGTAATCTTTGCCTCTATCCAAATGAAGGACAAGAATATCTTCAATTTTATCTTCCCCTGAGTTTAAGATGGTCACAGAGTCTTTGCTGACATATACATCAAGAGAAATGTCCACTGTCTCATCTGAAATGTAGGAGATGGTACAAGGTAACATAGAAACTTCCAATGGAAAAGCAAAAGTGTATGGTCACCAAACGAACAGATGGCCTCTAAAAATTCACCAAACAACAAAAATGAAGCGATTGGACACAGAAAAGTGGCATCACCAGTACGATGACAGTGAAGGTAAGAGACATATGGTTAGAAAATGCGAAGTTAAACCACGCAAATGGAAGTTCTGAGGAGACAGTACATGGCAAGCTGAGACAATGGTAAAGGAAAAACTCACTTGGCTCCAAGTAGCCCTCAAAAGGTTCAGCCCGAAGCCATGGCTTGCAGTACTGGCTGTCATTAAGTTTAGGGATGAAAGAAAAATGGCAGGTAACCTGTCCATTGTTGCTGATCTGGAACTTCTCCTTTTGTAGTTGCCGAAACTTCACATTCTCAAACACAAACTGGGGAACAACAGACAGACACAACCATGCATCACTAGTAGGGGAAGTAAGTCAGTTGGATTATTCCATGGAGACTATGGATAAAGAATAAGGTCATTATTAACCAGGTGTACAACTGCCAGATGCATTCACCAACGGAGCGAACTTCGTGTTATCCACATACAGTACTGAACTCACAGCTGCAGAGAAAGAGTTAGGTAATGCTTGCTACTTCTACAGACTACTCTGATTGCTCCTGAGATCTTAAGAGGGCAAGCTGGCGCTGGTCCAGGTCATTCATCCTGTGACCAAGTACTGGTCTCTGACATATGAACTAGCTAGCAACTCTGCAGTATTAAATAACAGTGGCTAACTTGAGGGTTCACTAGGGCCAGGCAGTGTTTCAAGAGGTTCACGTGTATTAACACATGTAATCCTTACATGAGTCCTTAATCCAGATGAAGGGAAACTGCAGCTCTGACAGGGTAAGATACTTGCTTGGGTCAAGTTCTGGGACACGAATGGAGGTGGTTTGACTCCAGAACACACTTAATGTATATCTATGTAACATAGTTTCCTTTGGGCTAACCATCACAGGCAGTAGAAAGGGAGGCCATTTATTTGGCTCACCTCTCTTCTGCTGAGTTCAAGGGAAGGAAGGAAGTCATTTTCCATTCTATCCATAATGCGCACAATATCCTCAAAGACTTTCCGATACCTCCGTTCATCCACAACTTTCACCTAAAAGAAAATGAAGCCTCTTTTCAATTTTATGTGCTCCTAGTTTATTGCCCTTTGAGATTATTTAACAATTTAAAACTGGTCATTACAGCAACCATTTAAAATAAACTGTGATGCAAACAACGTCCTCAAAAACTCTGATATCTTGCTTCATCCATAACTTCCACCTGAAAGAAAATAGATCCTTATTTTAGTCTTATTTGTTCTCAATCTGTCTCCAAAATTCTCTAACAACTTTTCAAAGGCCAATAAAGTAACTATAAATTAAACTAATAAGCACTATTGAAGAATATATGTTAAAGATAAGGTAAGGTAAGGTACTGCTAAGAATATTTTGTTCCATTGTTAAGTTAGTTGGTGGTGGAAAAATGTGATGATTGTGGTAAAAATCGTTTCTTCTATTACACAAAAGAATAATGCCAAAATATACCACTACTGTTTCTAAAACAGCAGAAAATATAACTGAAACATTTAATTCTATTAGCTGCTATGCATAATGCCAAGAATCCTATCACTGCTCAGATAAATATAAAAGCATTTGTTTGTAAAAGTGAACCTGAGATTATATAATGGCAAAGTCGTGTCAGTAAATGGGACCTATGGCCATTTTAGACAATGGATGACACAAAATATCCTAGAGCAAAATTATAACAGATAAGCAAATCATCTTTACTAATAAGTCAGAAAACTTCCCACCTGATACAACACTTTGAACTTCCTGATACAGCTGTTTCTTAAATATTAAAACTTCATGAGTCAAAAATTAACACAAGTATACAATTTTGAACCTAAGACCCTGTTTTTTTTTATTTTTTGTTTTTTCTTTTTTATCGGTACCGGGGATCAAACTCACAACTGCCTGCTTGCAAGGCATGCACTTATGCTGCTGAGCTAAATTCCCAGCCCAAGACACTGTTTTTAAAAAATTTCATAAAAATCCTTAACAAAAAAGGAATTCATGTACATAGCACAGTACATGTGGAAAACAGCGTCACACTTGAGCCAATATCTCAGAGTGGGCAAGCTTTTTACATTATTTAGACTGTAACTCTTGGAGTACTGCCGATCAATCACTTCAGTGCGACCAGGATCCAAACTATACATTATGCTAAAACGAATTTTATACTTCAACAAGATTTTGCATATTTTTATTTCGAAGAAAATATTTTTACCCATGTCTTTTTATTTTCATATCCCATGGGAGCTACAAATCAAGGAATGTTGCGATTTGAGCAAACTGAGATACAAAAGATCAACTAACTTGCTCTTTGTCATCCTTAATCCAAAGATGACATATGGATGACTAGCTGAACCTTTTCCAAAATATCCAAGATATGCCAGAATGAAATCTGGTAAGTCTTAAAATTACAGAAGCCTGTATGTACTAATCACAATCTCCAGGACATGGGACTCAAGCATCTAAACTTTTTTTAAAAGCTCTCTAGAGAATCCTTAGCTCCTTATTGTGTGAGAATGCAATAGACTACAGCATAAAATGGAAAGGTGGAATCCTTGGCTTAATCTCAGCCAGATGATAGCAAATTTTCTAAAATTAATTGGCCATGGAGTGCTTGGCTCCTGTGCTATCAGTCATTGTGGCAATGGTGGTAAAAATATAATGTGGTTTTTAAAGCCTCTAATCATAGCATGCCTAAGAGTCCAAAACACTCAATAAAAGCTACCCCTTTCTCAATGGATTAAATGATTTAATGCCACATCAAGGAAAATGAGGAGGGAACCCCTCTCCCAAATTTTATCACCTGTATACCCATCTCAGAAGAGGAAATTACTAACAAAATTAGACATTCAAAAGAAAGCACAATGAGTTAGATCTTTATGTGAGAACACAGATCGCTCTCTAAGACACACTATTAAAAGTTACAAAAGGCAGGTTTATATATCATATGGCATGAGATCACACAAAACAAAATTTTGTCTATGGGTAAACAGAAAAGCATATGCAAAGTCTAGAACTGTACTTTCCAATAACAACCATGAGACACACAGAGGCACTTAAATTTAAATTACTATGAATTAAATGGAACTAAAACTTAGCCACATCTCACATATTCAATAGCTACCAGCAACTAGCAGCTACTGAACTGGGGAGCACAGACACAGGGCATTTTCTTCACCATAGAAAGTTCTAGTAGACAATGCTGGTTTGGACAAAACTGGGAGTGGAAGATGATCAGGACTGAAGAAAAATAAGCCTTACCTGTAAGTTCTATCTAGAGTTTTAAAGAAAAAGCACTTCTGTGCTACTGTATAATTTAAAAGTTATTAAAAATTAGAAAGGTAGAATTTGAATAAAGATACACAAAAATAGAGAATCCTTAGCTCCAGAAATCCTGGAGAATTGTTAGTTATCCCACAGGAGCTTTGGGTTAATGTGCATGGAGTATTAAAAATATTCCAAGGTCCTAAAAGAAATACAAACAAAATACCAAAGCATAGCTAATTAAACCAAGGAGGTTAGTATTTAAGGAAAGATACCCTTTTGAAACAGATTAAGAGAATTCAAATGGTGGTCTGCAAGTACAAATGAACTAGGTAGGCTCAAAGTAGTATCTGAAGGCACATTTAATCAGGAAGTACTTTAGAACTATGGGAACATTTGCAGTAGTAGAAAAAGTATGACTTTGGGAGTTAAGACTAAAGATTTGAACTCAGCTCTCCTAGTTGAATAATCTGAGATACTGAACTCACTTGTTCTCCACTTGCTTATCTGTTAAATGGGAAACACTGAAGTCAAAATGCTGTGAGAAGGAAATATGTTCAAATTACTTAGCAAAGTTCCTGGCACACAGCCACTAGCTGCTATCTGAGCAATGCTTACTATTTTAGAATTTAAAAATGGGGGGCCACGGCCATAGCTCAGTGTACACACTTAGGGTATACAAAATCCTGGAGTCCACCTCCAGTGTCACACAAAACAACCTCTCAAATAAAAAAGTTCCAAGAATAAAATTTCCAAATGGACAAAAAAAGGCCTAATTGTCTTGATAAAATTATAAGACCAAGTCGGGGATTTAGTTCAGCAGCACAAGTGCCTGACTGGCAAGCTCGAGTTTGTGATTTCGATCCCTGGTACCAGAAAAAAAAGCCCACAAAAAATTATAAGACCAAGAACTAATTTTTTATCATCAAAGAAAAGCCCTAAGGCCATTCTTTAAAAGCAGAGCAAGATAAGACATTAGGGTTGATACCTATCTCAGATGCTAAAAAATGTGACATAAACACAGGAGAAAGAAATCTACTCTACTATGCTCTTTACAAGCCTGAACTCATTAATCTTCATGAATAGGTACTATTCTCCATATTTTATAGAGGAGGGGACTAAGGCAGAGAAATGTTATATAAAGTGCTCACGGGTCACACAATTAGAAAATGGTTTAGTTGGAATGCAAATCCAAGCAGTCTGCTACAAAGTTCATCACACTAAACACTTCACCGGATGCATTCTGATAAGATTATGTAACTGCAAATACAGAAAATTCCCAAGAAATAATGTAAATGTGATGGCAGTAGTAAGTCAGCAAAATTCCAACATATAATCTGTACACAAACAACAGGTAAAAATACAATGAGGGAAAAAAAAAACAACTCACATAGAGACAAAAATTAAGTAATCACCCATTCCTTTAGGCTAGTATGCAACAGAGTTAAAGAAAATCTTAAAAACTGTGTCCCTGTACAGGAAGACATCACACTAGCAAGGATGGCACTATACCTTGTAAGGCAATACTCAAGGTTTGGTCATATTTTGATCCATTTGTGCTTTTACTCCTGCTGTTAACACTTCTCCACTCAAAATCTCTCTTTTTGGTGTTTCCTTACTATATTTTTGATGAAAAGCCAGTTATCCTTCAAGACCTAGCTTCTAACTCTTCTTTATGCCACTGCTTTTTGCAGGTATAAATTAGTCCCCAAACATTATGTAGCATGAGAAACTTCAGGGTGACAAAAAGACGTGCCACATGAAGGGCTATAATGATAACATCTGGAAGGGTTCAGGGCACTGACTTCTTAAATTTCCAAATGATTATGGACACTTATGGTTCATAAAATTACAAATTTTCTGAGTCTACAAATGCTCTACATGTAAGATATTTAACATGCAAACAAATGAACAAACAAGCACGTACCCCAATATGGAAGAGGGCGCTCACAGGCTTGTGGTCGCTGGTTTTCAGTTCCATGTGACTCCGATAATTAAGCTGATTAACATTTGTTCCTCTCCAAAGGATTCGGTCACACCATGCTGGAATCCGACATTTTCCACTGAAAATAAAGAAATCAGTTATAAGGAGAACATAGTACACGAGAACATAACATTTACCACAGTAATTTAGACCTAGGCCCATATGCTTCTTTTTCTTTTTTTTTTTATTTTAAAGAGAAAAAACACTAAAAACAATGACACAAAATTTCACAACAAGGTAGTAAGACAGTAACAATGGTTAACACATTGTATATTGTTATCTTCCAAGCAGTTGTTCATATTACAAGCTATAGGCATGAAAAAGTGATCAAATAATTATTGAACAAACATCTTTCTGGCTATGTTGCAAGCTCTACTAAGGGAATGTGTGATTATTTGCCACTGAACTCCTACAACCTAGCTGAGTATCTGGTGTAAAGTAAGTGTTGGATGAGGTTATCTAATAAATTAATAATGGTTTTCCTGAGATCAGGATTACATATTCAGCAATGTCACCACAGGTAAAAATATAAAGGTACCTTCTTAAAATTTCCTTAGGTCAGGGTTCTATTCTGAACACTACTTCTTCCCTTGCTGTATGAAGTGCAATTATACTCCATAACAGGTAGCTAATATGTTATAAAAATCCATTCCTCTATTCCTAGACTGGGATTAATCTGGAAAGGACTAACAGTAGAGATTTCTCCTTTAAACCTGAACTTCAGTGGATAAATCTAGTATCTTCTGATAATGAACTAAAATGTAGCATGAAGGTCTGAGCATATTATAGTCTACAGAATACCAAGAGTAGAGATAAACCTATTCATTGTTCTATTAAAGTAAGTGATAGCTTGTACACTTGATTTAGAAGGTGACATACATATTTCCTATCAGTAGCTCTTCAGCTGGATCTCAGATCAGGTATAGGGGAGAAAACAAGGCAAACTGTATATGATCTATCAGTGTCACTTTTCATTTGCTGATCAGCTCCTTCGGAGGATAGGCATACAGACTCCTCCAACTGCCCACTCCACCCCTAACCCCGGGTGAGTCTGAAGCAGCTGAGTATACCCAGGGATTCTTTCTCTTTCATGCTTCTGTGTTCAGCTAGGTAGGAAACATAAGAAACAAAAATATTGATAGTACACAGAGGACAAAGAGTTACCAAGAACTTACTGACAGGGGTGCTTTATTGGGGTGATCAGGAAACCAAAAGGTATCTTAGGCAGTGGTTCTCAGTTTTCTTTACCAGTGGCAGATAAGGGATCCAGGTATCAGTATCTTTAAAAACTCCGCCAAAAGGTTCTAATGTGTTCTTGAGACTGAAAATTACTACACTAGAAGTATTTTTCATATCTCTTTGTTTAAACCTTCTTGTGTCCAGTTAAATAGCTGAGAAGCAGTTCAGGCACAAAGAACCAGTAGGTGAGAAACAGGGCAAGATCAGAGAGGTGAGAATCTAAACAAGTCAGCTGAGGTGAAAGACACAAAGCACTGCAGGTAAACCATAACATTTTACCGCCCTGACATGTAAGCAAAACCCTCTTGAAACAAGCACACCTTTGAGCATTCACGAACTCTTCTGGAATAGTGCTACATCATTAGATCTTTATCTCTGTTTATGGTATGAGCTAACACATTCCTAGTTTCTTGCCAACATGAATAGATAGGTTGAGATCAAGTTTTTACCCACTGTGTGAGAAGATTCTTATTACTTTACCTAGAATCCCATCGGTCTGTTTTGGAGTCATATTTGTAAGTAGGGATAAACTTGATTTCCCCTTCGTTGAAGTCAATAAATGCTTTTTTTTGTGTGCGTTGAATATTTAGCTACAGATAGAAAGAAACATCATGTAAGAAAGATAATACTATCTTAATATGTGACAATCAAGTTAATTAGCCACTGTTCCCATTTCTAAGTATCTAATTCCATAGCTTTTACATAAATGAAGTGTCCACATCTTATGAATTTAATCTCCGCATTCTCACGGCATCTAAACTCACCTTCAGATAGGATGCTCACCATTGGCACATCACTAATATTTTTATTGCCAATAGTGGCCATGGATAAAATGGAATCATGAAATCTGGACAATCATATGTTCCTTGGAACTGGGCAGGAACCATCGAACATAATTATAATAATGTTTTAAAAGCACACAAATGTTAAATGGACAATTCCCAAAACCAAATTTAGTAAATTGTTACACACTGTTGTGAAAGTTATCCTCACTCAAATATTTAACCAGTGTTAAATAAGACTCAAGTATTCCACTGTATTCATTTGGAGGAAGAAATACAAAGGAATGAACCAGCCGACCTCAAAGTTAAGGCCGACAGCCAAGAAAGGCTCACTACAAAGATCATTCTACTATAAAAAACCTGAATTTTGACCAAGATCAAAATGGATTTCATACGAATTTAGATATTTGAATCAAGTCAAAATATTTTCTTTCTTCAGGATCAACTTGAAGTCATTTGTAGGAAAACAGATAAACATCACAATGTTAAGTGACATAAATCAGACATATAGCCATAAATATCATGTTTTTTCTTATAGGAAAAATCCAAAATATAAAGAGCAAAACAAAAGATTAAAAAATTGTATCTTAGCCAGGCATAGTGGCGCACATCTGTACTCCCAGCACTTGGGAGGCTGAGGCAGGTGGATCGTTGCAAGTTCGAGACCAGCCTGGGTTACAAAAAGTGAGCTCAAGGCCAGCCTGAACTGCATAGTGAGACCCTGTCTCAAAAAGACAAAAAAATTTTTTTCTTTCCTTAATAAGACGTATGCTGTTATGCCAGTATCTTGCAGTTCTGGGTGTGTATGTCTCTGTGTGTGTGTGTGTGTGTATCTCCAAAGAAAATGAAATCACCACACAAATGAGATACCCATATGCTCATATTTACTGCAACATTATTCACAAAAGTCAAACTACGGATGAAGTGGTAAAGAAAGTGTATGGAATATTATTTAGCTATAATAGAGAATGAAATTCTGCCATTTCAACCAAGACACATGGAACTAGAGATCATTATGCTAAAGAAAATGAGCCAGACACAGACAAATACTGCACATTTTCACTTACATGTAGTAGCTTAAAAAAGCAACTTGAACATAGATAGTGATTACTAAATGCTGGAAAGGGTAAGGGACAGAGTGGATAAAGGGAGTTGGATTCATTAGTGCATCTTATATGCCTGTGTTGATGTATCACACCGAACAAAATTAACATGTACAATTTATACATGTTAAAGAACATATATATGGAAACTGGGGTCCTGAATAGGAAGTTTTACATAAATTTTACAGAATCAATGCTTTTTCAACAACTATATATCAGCTTACTCCAATTTATTAATCAGTTCACATTAGATCATAGCTTATGCTATTTATTCCCAAAAAACTTGTTTGCTTCCCAGTCTCGCTCACAGGGCCTCCCTCTTCTATCTGTAAGCTGCTGCTCAGTCTGCCTAGTAATAATAGAACAGTTTTCACTGTTTCATCTGTCAAACCATATCAACAGAGCTGAAGATCCACTTGCTCCAAGAAATGTTCTCCAGGTAGCCTGCCTATTTTCCAGCTCATTTATATAAATCTCTGAAATCTCTGCTTGATAATGACTTACTAAATAAAAGTTTTATTACCTTTTATCACCAATGCTCTCCCTTCTTCCCATCCAAGTACTTAATCAAAGCACTACAAATCTTATTACTCAATATATCACTAATCAGTTTTTTAGAAGACAGTATGACCTTCCCAACTCTTCTTAGAGTAAGACTTGTCTCCCATGTATCTATTTCAAACTCCTAACAATCTTTGCCATGGAAACTTTACTTACCTGGTCAAATTTTAAGAGTCTCTGAAGGTCATTCTTATTAATAAGACTTTTCACCTCATTGGCATCAGGCATGCAAAGCCTATAGTTCAAATCTCCCAACCAAATGACAACACTGAGGATCAAGAAATATATGAACAGAAGTAGCAATAATTAATATAAAATCAATCAGAGAGGAATGAGAAGAAAAATACATAGATTATAAGAATTCATTTATCATTATCTGACAAGAAACTTAAAGCAGTAACTCTTTGGGAGGAAGTATTATTAACACCCCAAGAAACAGTGGGTTACAAAATAGGTGGAAAAACAGGCACTCCACACACGAAGAAGAAAGGGAAATATAAGGTATTCATGGAATTCAGAAGCCTAGGAGTTAATGGACTAAGAAGCATTTAGTTCTTTGCTGGACTAGCTTCAAAATTTTGCCTGGCTGCTTGCCAGGTCTCTAGGGAGAGAGACTCTCAATGCTTTCTGCCGCTCAAAATCCTGAGGTTCTATGAACTCACTCTAAGGTCTATCTGGCCTGAATGACAGCACTCCCAAGTAGGACTGACTAAGAAAAGTAGATCTCGGGCTCTCCAGGATGGTCAACCTGCTTATTCCTGCATAAGACCTACAGAGCAAAGTTCTAGGCAAGAAACAGACTGGCAAAGGTATGGGATTCCAGTTCGAAATCACAGCCTCATGCTTCAAGATGTGATGAAAGGGAGACCCAGAAATTACTGCATTAGAAAAGATTCTCCTGTGAGCTATTATAAGCTTCCCATATCAATCTCAAATGCAACATGAGATTTCTGGAATCTGGGGAAATAAATTTATGGAGTTACAGGGCAATTTCATGATTAAAAAGTACAGCCTTGATTCTGACACTATGAAACAATTCTAGAAGGTATGATCCAAACTATGGTGAAAGTTTTATTTTTGTTTGTAACAATAACAGACACATTGCTATTAAATACTCTTCCCAAGGAAGTACTCCCTCTTGCTTCAAACACATTTATTATACTGCTCTTACCATTTTCTGGAGCAGTTCTGGAAATTTTATTTTTTGAGTGTCTTTAGTTACACTCCTGTGGCTGCCTTAATGTCCTGAACTGATTCAACATGTCTGTCTTTCATGGTAATTCTGACTTAGGGGAAAAGTCAGAAGTCATACAATGTGAGATCTGGTGAATATGGTGGATGAAGATGTACTATTATGCTTTTACACACTTTCTACTGGACGGCATCTGAGCATTCACTATTTTTCACCACACCTCATTACATCACTCGTGAAAGAATGACTTCCAGAACTGCTTTAGGCAGTGGGAATAATGGTGTTATGAATAAGTGTATTCAAAGAGAGGGATATATTTGGAGAAGGATTAATGGCGATGTGTCTTTTACTATAATAACTTTAACATTCAAGCATACATTGCATATTTTAATCACCCATTTTATATGATCCTAATTACTGAAGCAATAAACACTCCAATAACACTACCTTCCACTAATCTTTCCTCAATCACCCTGATTTTAATATCCTTACATTGTCTTTTGCTTTACTACTAATCCTGATCTCAAACTATTCTAAACCACCTTATCAGAATTTCAATGACCAGTATTAATGTCTTTGCAAATAGTTACTATCACAATAACACTCAATGGATTTGTATCCTAAGTTCGATTCATCACTGATCTATCTCTGCCACTCTGCTTTTAATAATCACAACCATTAGAAAGAACAATATAGATCTGCATTCACTGGCATGGAAAAGGACCCACAATAAATAGGACAATATGGTCTTATACAACAAGAATGTGTGTGTTTGTACATGAATATTATCTAGAATGCACTATTTAATGGAATCATAATGTATGTCAGAATATACTTTTAAATTTTCTGTAGCTGAATTTAAAAAGTCAAAAAAAAAAAACAAGTGAAAACCAAGTATCACTTAGCCCGATATATCTTAATTGTTATTTCAACATGTGATTAACATTAAAAAATTGAGATAGTCAACATTTCCCTCTTAAGTCTTTCAAATCCAACATACTGTTTATGATCAGAGGATATCTCAATTTGGGTAGACCACTTTTTCAAGTGCAGAACAGCCATATATGGCCAGTGGTTATCATACAAGACAGCACAGATTTTAGATATACACCCAACTATAAGGACTGGCTGGGAACAATAGAGAAGTGGTGAGGTGTTTTTACTGTTAGTCTTATCTTTTGTTTTAAATTTACAATGAAAACTTCTGCTTTATAATAAAATCCAAAAACTGACTCCAATTGACAGACCGTTCTGGCATTACCCTATATACTTCATTAATACAAGTAACGTTTCTTCTGATGTCAAACCTAATTTCTCAGTAAGTCTGCTAGTCCTCTTGCTTGTGTCCCTAATCTCTAAATGACAATCCCTCACTCTTCACAGTTCTAGAGCTTCTCACCACATTTATGCTCACTATTCAAAGGCCACAGGAGAGATAACCACTCACTCATGTTTCATGATGTTCAGTTGTGGGAGGGTCTGACTGGGGACTACAAAACTCATTCTTGCACAGATGTCTTTATAATCTTGATTTCTTCTCTCAAAGTCTTCCACGTGGGCAGCCAGGTGGGAATTGACAATGCAGAAGGTAGTGTTGTGAAACACAAATCTCACGGCTACTCCACCTTTGTTTCCCTGTTAGCAAGTACAATTATTTAATTATTCCCAGTTAGTTGCACATTAAGCATCAATTTAATTTCACATGGACATAAATAATAGTCCAGGGTACTTCCCAAGTAACTCACCATTTTCCCCATGATCCCAGTTCCAACTGTTTCTGTAGCAACATCACGAATATACCGATATTGATCCTTTCTGGCAAATATAAGGAGCATCATCCCAACAAGGCGGACTAGTTGAACCTATGAATTCCAGAGTTATAAAAGGCACTGTTAACATCACTCTTTGCCACATATTGAACTTCCTGGAATTAATTTTTCTACCAAAATGACATACCAATGCTCAAAAATCTAAATCCAAATGTTCTAATTTCCCAGAAGATCCTATAAACTGGAAACCACAATTCTCTTGGGGACGCTCCAACCTGGCTCTGACCATTAAAGTTAAAAGTCTTGGGTGACAATGAGTATACTCAACTCCAAACTTATTCTTTTAATAACTTTTTCAAAAGTTCAAATAACACGGCAAAAAAACTGCTATGCCCATTTGTTCCTTTTACTACTCTTAGTTTCTGATTTCTAATTTTCTAAGAAATCTGCATCTATAAACAGTAACCCTTTTTACTTTATTTTTAGTATGTGAACTAGAGCTAGAAATATGCTTGAGATACATATTAATCAGAAACCTGTATGAGAGGAAAAACACATTATCTATCTAAATTTTTAAAAAGATATAGAGGAAAATCACTCAGATTACTCCTTTTAAAGAGCTTACTATGGTATGTCAGCAAACAACTTCAATCTGAAACATTTATTGCACAAATTAGTTACTTTATATGTAATTATTTTGCATTAATTATTGATATGAGTACAACACAATCTTTTCCCCCTACAAGCTATCTAAGCAATTGAAATATAGGATCGGAAAACTTGGGAACTTTTTTTCCTAGGAAATAAGTATGAAGGATTAGTCTGCCCTATTCCAATATTACACATATGGAAAAGTCAATTAAATCATTGTTTTGGAATGAGTTACAAATAATGGAATACCTTCCAGTGAGTTCTAGTTAGTCATATACTAAAAAAATAATTAAATGTGGCTTACTTTCTTATACTTGGCTTTGGAATGCAAACCTCTCTCTACAGCCATGCACCATTCTTGTTCCTTTACAGATTCAAAGTAGAAAAAGGCTTCTGTGCTCAAGTCTAGCTCTTGGAATCTAAGAGGGGAAAAAATATATGGTATCTATACATATTCTATAACTGTCTCTTGCTACCCTTGGTTCCATTTGCTGAGATATTAGACCAACAAAAGAAAGAAAAAAAATAGAAGAGACATTAAATTTTATCAAACTGCTCCACTGAACTAGGTTATCAGTAAGAACAGTTTTCTAAAGAATCTCCACAAGTACATTCATAGGTCATGCAAAAGATAAACAAAATCCTCCTATGAGGTTTAACAATAGAACTTTGATTTTGTGACCTTATTATAGTCACTGTAGAAGTAACTTCAAGACTCAGTTTCTATGAAGAGTATACTTTGCTTTTTATGGGTTTTGAGAAGACTAGATGCTTCTTTATATCATGTTAGATATCTATTCCATTCTGATCTCACAAATTTGACCCACAAATTAACTTATGCCTATCGTCCCTGGTAGTCTAAACAATTTGTTCAAGAAGGTAGGCAAAATGTCTTATAAACAAACACCAGAAATAAAGTAAAAAAGAAGTTCCAGAAGTGTTTTGTTACCCAATGCAGTAGATATCAGGAGGATTCGGATCACAGTTCAGCCAAGGTTCTAACCCACTATCTGGAGACTGGCCATTCACATTCCAAGTTCCAACAAAAAACCTAGTATGTAACACCAAAAAATACATTGAAAACAAAGATCAAGTATAAACAGAAGCCCTGTTCATCATTTCTATGCAAGCGTATGTTCCTAATAAGCCACAATGATTCTTCAAAGTGTTTTGACATATACATAAGAAAACTTACTTGTAGGATATAGACAATGGGGTTTATGTTGTTATATATTATGTGAAACTACAGAAAAGAATCAAGTCAACATGTTAAGAAACAAAACATTAATTGTTTTAGCATATTCTTATCCAGTTAAACTCCACACTCATACTTGAAGGGAGAGGTTATAAATGGAAAGAGGTATTTTCATGTTGCAGACTAATATAGGTATTTGCACTCTAATATAGGTAGTTGTTTTATAAGGAGTCATAGCTGAATTAAAGACCTCACTTCCCAAAGATGGCAAGGACATCCATGTAGGAAATTCTGATGAGGCACATATAGTATTAAGGGAGAAAGCAGAAGGGAAAACTCATGACTGTCTTAACTGTTTGCCTACAAATATAACCATCATGTGGAATATGAGGAATAAGAGAAACTAGAGATATAGTTACTGTTGAATTAGAATAACTGAGGCATGATGGGTTAGCAGATTCTTGGACTAAAAGGGAACGCTTTGTTCATAATAATAAAGAAAAGTGTTGTCACATCACGTATTGGAGACATATGTCACACCACATCACAGTCCACATATAATACTACGTATACCAGGTCCAGAAAAGAGGATATTAGCAAGTAAAGGGAAAATAAAGAGTAATAGAGGAAAACAATCCATAATAGATCTTCCAATCAAGAGGACTGGGTGAAATTTTCCTTAGTTAACTTACCAAAATTAGGATTTAGTGTTAGTGGTGGACTTTAATTTTCCAGTATACTGCCTCGATAAAAAGTCAGCAGGCCAGACAAATAATCACACTTTCATATAGAATGTGCTAAGGGACAGTTCTCTAGTGTATGTGAGCTTGATTTAGTTCCCTAAGACCAAATAGAAACATTAGTAGACTTGGTATATCTTAGTAGTCAGAAACTCCAAGGATAATTGTAGCATCTTCATCATTTTGGATATGCATACTATTGAGCAGCACAAAGCAAAGGGCATGCATCCAATGATCATTCCTTTTTAGTGTTTTTATAGTATTTAATTCATAATTAAGCTAATACCCTAAGTACCAAAAAGTCAGTGTCTATTATACATAACTCTTTAGACTCAGGAAGGAGAAAAGACACTAACTTGAAAGTCTGTATGTTGACATATTCTTTCTCTCGCTTTGCCAGGATATGTTTGATGAGACCTTCTCGTGTCCCAGACTGAGTATTTGGTACAAAGAGCTTCCTCATGGTGTTGGTCACTTTAGGCAGTTCCTTGTTAGAAGCTTCTTTTTCACGTGGAAGCCTAGCAAATAAATGATAAATTCAAGTAAAAATTTCTAAAATATAAATCTCCTACAGGAGAGATACGTTGCAATGTAGGACTTACATTCTATTCACAGATGGGGGTGGGGGTGGGGGCTCCCGGTGAATCCCTGTAGACTGATTTTGTGAATTCATTTTCTTGTCTAAATTCATGGATGAAAAATTATCCTCAAATCCAAGAAGTCCTGAAGCACAGAGAACCCACAGTCAAAGGGGGAGAAAAGCTGACATCCAACATACCAGAATGGTCAGGACTTTTAATTAATCATGATTTGCTTGGTGGAATTATTAAAGAGAAAGGTACTACAAAGAGTAGTAGCTACTTAGATTAGGGGAAGAAGCACATATGTCTTTGAAGTACTGATATATTAATCTGTACATAATAATCTGGAATTTAATAGTAGCTAACATTTATTGAAGACAGCGCAATTCCTATTTGACAGAAAGGGATTATATCATTATTTCCCTTAATAATCATAAAACCTCAAGGTAGGTACTACTAAAATCTTCCAATGTGGAAGAAAAAGGAATGGAAGTTCGAGTTGTTGAGTAACTTGACCAAGATCATTTAACTAGTGAGCCCCAGTCTTGGGATTCAAACCCAGGCTATCTGGCTCTGGAGTCTGTATTTTTTACCACTTTGCTAAGCTGGCTCCTCAAGAGCTGTTATGCCACAGAAAGGATAAAGACTGAGAGGATAAACAGTGGCCATGGACTTGATTAAAACCACTCCGCAGGTGATTATGTCTGATTTTGACTTTAATCCACATCATCCCATTTGGCCTAACTAAATCCACTAACTCTAAAATGATCACAGCAACCAGTGACAAAAGAATCCTTTCAGTACCTGGAAAAATAGAAGGCTTGTCCTTAGTGTCTAATTTCTGATACCAGCTGGATGAGTCTTTTTGCTCTGGAACAAGAAGCTGAGACTGAGCTGAAAAGATAAGTCATAGTCAGAAACTAGGGAAACTGGTATTGAATGGAATTTATCATAACCAAAAGCCATTCATCTAACACTCCTCAAATGCAAGGGCTTGAACTATTGTTGAAAATAGTGGAAAAACAAAGAAAATAAGGACAGTTCTGGGGTAATCTGCAGCTAAGAGGAAGATGGTGGTAAACTGTTCAGGGCATGCACTGAACATTCTGGAAATCGGCTCAGTGTCCTTAAAGCTGGATAGACTTGCTCTCTAACCTTCTCCCTGGGTATATTTCTGAAGAAAAGTATTAGTTATCAGGGCCCAAGGAGTGAGGTGCTTTGCTAATAATCATAGACCTCTGAATTTGCATGTCAGAATTTTACTCCCACTAAAAGAAGAAAATTGTTAGGTCTTGAGTTACCTTCCTGAGCAGCAAGGACCTCTGAGAGGAATTTCAAACAGTGTTCTTCATCAGGGATTTCAAAACGACGCTCTCTGGTCCAGTCCCCTTGAACACGAATTTTGCAGCCACCTAAAAAGAATTGAAAGCCATACACATATATCTACAGGACGCAACACTTTATTGGAATCATATTCTCCATGTACCAGGTTATCAGAAGGTCCAGACCACAAGTAGAGGGACTCACATGGATAAGGAAACAAGGCATTCTGTATGGTAGTGACATAAGGAGTAACACAGAGGGAAGCCTCAGGAAAGATGGAAATCTTAAGACTGATAACTTGTGCCAGTAAGCAACCTGATCTAGTGATAGATACACTACATACAAAATTGGTTCCCTATGTTCTGATCTGTCTCTCAGATGTCAATGCAGGGGCTCCAAATTCTAGTAAAAGATAAAATTCCTCAGTTACCCTCCTCCTACCCCCAAGACAGAAACTGCTATCATTTTAAATTTATATCACATAGTAAGAGTACCTGAAGCATGAAAAGAAAAAAGGAAACAGCATGGTTGTTCCTAAGTTCAGATTAAATTACATTTATATACAATAACAACAAAAAGAAAATAGTGAGATTAGTTTGAAGTATTCTGATTAAAAAGCACCTAATCTTTATTATCTCAAGTAAAAAAATACATGTCTGGAATAAAATTGGAAAAGCAATAGTCCATGTCCAAGGGAGGTTTGGTTCACCTACAGTCAATTGAAAAATAGCAGAATTAAAAGCAAAGTTACCTAGGGCTCTAATTTTTTTACAGATGTAACAATACTGTCTCTGTTTTTCTGATGCCCTATGGTTAATCATCTTAGTTATTTGAATATGTTGTTTTAGGAAACCTATAAACAATGTATTTGTTTATATTCCTATTATAATTATGTATTGCTTTTCCCTTGCCCCTGGAAACTATAAGCTCCTTAAGGATAAGACGTAAGTTACATGTATAGGTCACCCAATACTTTTCATGGTCTAGGTAACCAAGTGTCTTGGAGTTGGAGTCATCAGGCTTCCTGCAACTCAAAACTTTCAATGCTGACACTGAGAAAAATCTGAGGTAAACCAGTCCAGTGCTAGCTGGTCACTCCCCTAGTGGCGTCAATGTCAGACTTAACAGAGTCATTTAAAAACCTGACTCTGAGAAATGAGTCAATTTATTTCACACTTGCGAAAATGAAATGAAAATTTTAGTTTTTTATGTTGGACTTCCATTTCCAAACTTTTGGCTTCTTTTGTCCTTTGCATTTTTGTGTTATTTTGCCTAACAAGTTAAAGAAAAAATAAAATTACTGATCAGAAGAAGAAATGAGATACAAATAGAGAAAAAATGTGAAACCAGGCATCCATGTGAATCAGAGATAAGAAAATTAATGAAGATGCCAGGGTTAAGGACAAAAACAAAGGACAGGGCTTGAACAGAATGTCAATTATGTGTGAGAAAGCAGCCTTAAAAATACAAGGAAAACTCCCTGAGGTCATAATAAGCCTCCCTTTCTCAGATAATTTATGTAATTTATGTTTGAAGTAGCTAAAAAGCAGTTTTAATCTGATAGAAATTTAGAACAAAAAGGCCTATTCTCTCTCCCACAATTCCTGAAAGATATATTTTAGCAAACATAAAACTGGCCTAGAGAATAGCCAGAAAATTTTGGAAATTACTTACAAAATAACATTGGATGTGCTTTTATAATGCTGCTTGAAAAAGTAGCAAATTTTCCCATGGTCCAACCTTCTGTTCTCCTCCCTTCCAAAACCCTCTGGCCCTCTGTGATCAGCAACACTTCCATCCCTTCCAGTGCATCTGAACTGTACCTTGTACCTCTCAGTAGTTCCCAAGTATGGATGCATTACAGTCGCCAGAGGCATTGCTAGAAAACACTGACATCTGAGCCCTATCCCAAAACAATTAGAGCAGAATCTCCATGGATACAGTTTAGGCACTGGTAGCTTTCTTCAATACTCCCCAGTCAAGTTTAGTATGAAGTTCAAAATAAAAACCAGAATCAACTGAAAACTGGTTAGCTCCTATAAGAGACAATTCCCCTGCAGCCCCTTAGTGAAAGCTATTTTCTCACACCTGAGAGCATTTATTTTTGAGATCCCCCACTCCATCTCTTCGGCAGTACTGCACTGGGGATTGAACCTAGGGACACTGTAGCATGGAACAGTCCTTTTTATTTTTCATTTTGTGTTACAGTCTTGCTAAATTGCACAAATCACCTAGAACTTGCAATCCTCCTGCCTTAGCCTCCTGAGTACCTGGGATTAAAGGGGTGTGCCACTCTGCCCAGTACCTCCCACTTTTCTGACAGAAGTCTCTCTCCACGTTGCCCAGGCTGGCATCAAACTCCCGCACTAAAATAATCCTCCTGCCTCAGCCTCCTGAGTGCTGGGACTACAGGAGCACCACAATGCCTGGCTTATATCTGATAGAATTTAAGGTTGGTGACTATACTTGTTCTAATACCATTTCCAGTCAATTCTTTCCTCTCCTCCCCCAGGACAAAAGTTTTCTCCTTTGAGGTTCACCCATAAGGCCATACTATCTTACTTTTTCCTTTTCTATGAGACAATCTACCACCCTTCTAGAAACCAGAAACCTCTCAATCCAGGATTTAATACCTAACACTTAGGATTCCTTTCCACTTAAACTCTGCCATTATTTTGAGTCCTTTTAAAATTAGTACAGAAAATCCAATCAACGCTTTTACCTTCCTCATCAAATCAATGTCTTCTGCACTATACCTCAGTGACCACTTACTTGGTACCTACTAGGGCTCTCTGTCATATCCTGGAGTTGTTTTTATCGTACAAACAAACATCTAAATCAAAAACCTCATTCTGACCTATTAGTCTTCCAACTTATTTGCTCATTATTTGTGTTGTAATTGTTGCTTTACAGCACAGGAACCTCCAGCCCATTGATTCCTCCACTTTCTCACTATCTATCAGCTTCCTCCTGTTTTCACTTCCCCTTTTCTCAAATACCATTGTTACACTCTTGCAAAAACTCACAACTACGTTAACTCTAGTCTCCCATGGCACTACTTGGTTAAATTCAATCAGAAATCCAACTAATTGCCTTCTCTGTACTAATAGTACCTGAACAAGCAGAAAATACATCTACAAACATGCACATGTGCACACGCGCACTCATGCACACGTGCATTCATGCACACGCGCGCGTGCACACACACACACACAGATTGACTATAAAATCTTGCTTGGTAACCTTAATAGGCCCACTATCCTATGCAATCAGTTACCGTGACTAACACGTTTCCTGTTAACTGGAAGAGATATTTACACTTTCTCATTTACCTTAGACTTTGGAGCCTTCTCTTTTCATGCCCTCTTGTTCCAAAAAGAATGCTTTGCCTCATACTTCAGAGATAAATGAAGCCATTACACTGAAACCTACTTGCATTTTTCTCATCTCCTTCCTTCCCTGTGATACAAAGAAGATTCCTCTTCACTTCGAATCCTTCTAATCCTCTCAGTAATCTTATAACCACTCCTTAGAAAGACACTCAGATCTCTAAAATCTCCCTTGCACAGGTTCCTCCCTACCAGCATGAAATCATATTCCAAATCTTTCCCAGCTGAAAAACAAACATTTTCCTGCACCCCATATTTCTCTCCAGCTCTAGTCCATCTCAGTATTCTCCCTCAACAGTCAGGCTTCTTTAAAAAATAGTCATTTCCTGCTCCTTATTTCCTATTTCTTATTTTATACTATACTCATCTAATTTGTCTGGTCATGAATTTTTAGGGCCCTTCAAGTTGCCTAACCTTTAAGAATTAGAGTTCTTTGAGTTCAATCCTAAATCATTTTTATTTTACACCAGTATTGTTCAATAAGGCTTTCTGTGATGATGGGCATGTCCTGTAGATGTGCTTTCTAATATGGTAATAACTACATGTGGCTCATGAACATTTAAAATACCAGTACTGCAACTAAGGAATTCAATTGCTATTTTTTTTTAATTAATGTAAAGACTCCATAGCTAGTGGCTGCTATATTAGATAGCACAACTATATATGCGATCATACTATCTCTTGTAATTTTACCTATACTTTATATGCTAGTGGTCCAAACCTTTCTTCTGTCAGCTGCCAATTTTTGATCTACATTCAAGTATCTCAAAGCACTCCCAGTACACCTAAAACTGAGTGCAGGATACCCCCACAAAGGAAAACTCATTCTGTTCGCAATGTATTTATGCAAATAGAGTCATCATGCACATTCATGTCAGAAACCTGGGAGTTCTGGTTTTTACCAAGTATTCTTAACACTTCTCTTCCTCAGTCCCTTCATCCAAACCAACTTATATTGTATTTATTTACCTACAAATATTACCTATCAAATCTGTTCACTTCTCTCCTTTTCTACTGTTATGACATTCTCTACTTTTTGGTCCTGAAACAGCTTCCTAAAATTAGTCTTTCTGCTTCCATGAAAATAACAGTTCAGCATAAAAATCTTTCATTCTCTTCTATTGTTTTAAAATATCAAAATGTAGATTCAACACCATGACTTACAAGACTCTATTGGATCTGTTCCTAGCCTGTCCTGCTTTAGTGCTCAAGCCTTATTCCAGATACCCTGGCCTTCTTTTATTGCAAAGTCAAAATATCTTTCAACTTGGAGCCTTGTGGTTTCTTTCTCTGGAATACTATTCTCTCTCTAGTACTCTAGGTCTACCTAGACTCCCTAATCTCAATTTAAATGCCACTTCTTCAAAGAGGCCCTCACTCACCACCCTGCCTCACTCACCACCTTAGCCTTTTTATAAACTCTTGTGCTAATTCTTGATAGTACTTACCAAAATTGCAATTATGTAAGTATCTGTCTATTTCCTACATTAAAATCCCTAAGGTATCAAAAGTGTATTGATTTCTGCTATATCCCTAGAACCCAGTATGGTATCTGGCATATGAATGAATAAATTGTAAGCATCTATGTAGCCCTTGTACTTAATAGCACAGAAGAAAGAATCCAAGTAGGAGCAGCAACATTATCTATGCTGTTCTCTAATGATCTACAGTGTTTACAACTATACTTGGCAAAGAGGGACATAGCAATTATTTGCTGAATAATAGATAAGTTAGGGAGAGTGATGTGAAGGAATCAGTATACTGCAGTCCATCAATAAATCAGAAAAATGTAAGAAAAGAAAAAAAAATATAACTATCTTCATAAATAACAAGAAGGCATTTAACAAAATTCAGTGTACAGTCATGACTTTAAAGAACATACCACCTTGAATAAATGCAGTTTCTTAACATGGATTTTTTTTAAATCTACCAAAACAACAAGCAACCATGTCCTTAACTATGAAACACCACCTGATGCATTCTTACTGAAATCAAGAGCTAACCTAGGATCATTGTTATTTAGCACTGGTCCCAAAATTTTCATGGGTATAATGAGATGTGAAGCAAAACTAATAGTTATGATATTAGAAAGGAGACAAAATTATTATTTGCAGATAGTCAAAGTTGCCTACCAAAGTGAAAAAAATAAAACAGTAAAAAACTTAAACTGCAGTGAAGTAGTTGAATAAAATACAAATATCCACAATTCATTCACTCTTCTGTATACTAGTGTAAAAAGCAATTGGAAGATAAAATTCAATTCATAATGGCAGTAAATATAATCTACCATAAAATTGTTAACCTAAAATGATATAAATGAAAAACTACAAAATTTTACAGCAAAGTTTATAAGAAGGGTCACTAAGGAAGACTTGATAGGCACACAATGTTCCTTGACAGTTATCTAATTTTATAAAGAAATTAACTTAATATGTTGCTGTATGACTTACAGCAACAGTGAAATATTGTTCCCTAAAAGCAATATTTTATGATAATTTTAAATGATATAGGAAAAATGTCACAATATTAAATGAAAACACAAGGTAACTGTATACAAAGGGTGGAAGGTACAGCTCAGCAGTAGAGCACATGCTTACACAAAGCCCTGTGTTCAATTCAACAATCCCCTCCCCACACAAAACACAAAAAACAACCACCCCTCTAAAGAAAACCTCCACAAAAACAGCAAAAATGCTATATATAAGGATGATAATTACATAAGGATATAAATAAAAGACTAGAAATAAAAATATGAAATTGTTAGCCATGGGAGTAATCTCTAGGAGAATAATTTTAATTTGATATTTTAAATTTTTCTGACTTTATAAATTATATATAACAAAGAAGTATCAACTCTATGATTGGACACATTTTTTGTGGGACTGGGGACTGAACCCATGGCTTCACATGTGGTAGGCAAGTGTACTGCCACTGAGCTACATCTCCAGTCCATAACACCATAATCAAAAACTTCACTTAAAAAGTGCTTAATACCAACATTCAGACAGTGGGAAAATACTTGTTTATACTGAAATTAGGCCTTCATTGTTATTGATCATTATAAAATGAGGAGACATAACAAAGGATTTTATAAGCAGTCATCCAAGTATTTCCCCTCATAATCCAGTAAGCTGAACTCTATATAGCAACACAGGACTAACTTCTATGTAGGTAAGATCACAATAAGACTAAGGCTACAAATTCAGCGTATGTAAGAGAAAGGCACTGATCAGTTTAACTTCTCAGCTTTGGATCAAATAGCTTTCTATACCAAGAACAGAACATTACAACAGTAATGTCAGTCACTTCAGAATTATTTTCCTTTTCTTTGGCATTATTTTTATCTTCTTCTGTTTAAGCTCACTAAGACAAAGATATTGAGTTAGTTTCACTGTTGGATACCTGCAATAGAAGCCAACTGCTAGATTAGTATTTTGGAAGCAGTTCTTAAGACTTTCAAAATCAATGATTAAAGAAAAGGATAATAAAACCCAATCTAGAAAAAGTCTACTTAAACCATTTTTAACAAATTAATAGCACTCAGGGTAAGGACGCATCTTAACAAAATTATATACAACCTGCAGCTCCAAGGTAAGTGCCAAGCCCCACTCATCTAGGGATGTGACCAAGGGATAAGGCGATCCAAATTAGATTCATGTGGTCAGAAACTTTTCTGTAGCAACTACACAGCAGTCACGGTAGCAGACAAGTGACTATATTCTCCTCTCCATAACACAGTACAATTAGATGATAAAGAACAGCTTGCAAGGAAAGTCAGATAAATATGAGAGAACAGAAACAGTGAAAAGGAAGATCATGTTCCCTCTGATAAAGATGACTGGAACAACAGAGATTAAATAAAAGACCAAAATTGTACTGAGATAGAGAAAGAATGCCTCCACAAGCAATTTTAGGAACTCTGTAGCCTCACAAAATGAAGTAACAAACAAGTGAAAACATAATGATTGAATGTGCAAAAATAAAAAAAAGAAGAAAACTGCAAAAACAGTAGTTAAAAAAAAAACACGCCTACAAACCTTAAATGCTTTAAACATTTCCCTAGCCCATCATACAATTATCAGTTCCACATGATGATTTAACTGACAGGAACAATAATGGTGGCCCAAAGTTTAGCATTTGAAAAACAAATCATATTTTCAATTTTTAATAAAGGTTGTTACAACTACCTGCCTAAAGAAAATGGCAACGACAGGCGAAAATGGTAAAATACAAGATGTGCCCAAAATGATGTCTTGAATACACTGAATATTCAAGTAAATACTTGTTAAATAAAAATCAATTACACTCACAAAGATACTCACTATTTGAAGCGATGTCAATCAAAAGTGTTTCTTCTGCTTCTGAAAGGAAAAATAAAAGAGAACATGATGAAGGAAATGAAAACTATTACAACCAAAAGAAATATTTTAATTTTTTTATACAGGGTTTCACTCTGTAATTCAGGGTGGCCTTGACCTCGTAGAAATCCTCCTGACTCAGCCTCTTGAGTGCTGAGATTACAGGTATGTGCCATGTAATCTCATGTTGCATGCTCAGCTCAACAACTATTTCTTTTAGTCACTATTCTTTAACACTTTCTTTCTCAACATAATTTTGGTCTTTTATTTAATGTCTGTTGTTCAAGGCATCTCTATCAGAGGGAACATGATCTTCCTTTGCACTGTTTCTATTCTCTCATTTTTATCTGTTTGAAGCACATCATTGAGACATATTAAAAATTCCTTTGGCCTTTTGTTTAGCATTTTTCAAAAAGAATTTTTATAATGCTTTTCATAATGAGCAATTCAACTTAGAAAGCAATGAACTGAACCAGTAATCGAATGGAACTCCTCGAAGCAAATCCAGGAATGACAACCATTGGGAACATAATACCATGTTTTTTAAGTGCAGTCAAGTTAATATAATTTAAGTGCGTCCTTTAGATACGTCTTACACAAAGCCAAAGAAGTGACCTTGAAAGCCCAGAGGTGAAAGCCCAGAGGTAAATCACTTTCTCAATTTAGATCTAGACTGAAACTTTCCCACTCATTACCTCTACCCCTGTCCTATAAAAAAAGGCAGAGTAGCAGAGTACACCTGATTCTTTGCCGTCTGGCTTCCATTAACACCTGTCAGCCCGAGTTCTATCATAACCAACAATAAGCACAAAACATACTTTTGCGTTTCAATGTAGCACTAGTCATATTAGCCAACATATAGAATCAACTGAGGTGGCACAGAGGGATGGACAGATGGATGGATAAAGAAAAATGTATACCACACAACCACAGAATTTTATTCATCCATAAAAAGAATTAAATCTTGTCATTTGTGCCAACACAGATGGAGCTAGAGGTCATTACAGTAAGTGAAATAAGTCTGGCACAGTAGGACAGGTACCACATATTCTCACTTATATGTGGCAGCCAAAAAAGTTGATCTCATAGCAGTACACAGACGGCTTACTAGTGACTAGGAAGGGTAGGAGGAAGAAAGGACAGAGAGAGGTTGGATATAACAGATACCAAAGTAGTCAGATAGGAAGAATAAGTTTGCATTTAATTTATTAAATTATTGTAACAATTTACTAAAGAATTTTAACTAATTACAAGACAGGAGTTTGAAAGTTCTCAGCACAAAGAAATGCTAATTACCTTTATTTGACCATTATACATTGTATACATGCACATTATCATACTGCATCTCACAAAATATGCATAATTGTTATGTGTCAAAAGTACAAAGCAGTTTGCAAGTTCACAGTTCTCTTTTTTCCTGATGCCATTTCTTGTCCTTAGTTGAATTTATAGATGTCAGGTATTTTAATCCTAGACCTCTTCTCTTATTTCTTTGGGTTTGACCTGCCCTCTCGGCTAAATGAATCCTGGGTACTGAATTCTTGGGGGATTAGCCTAGAACTATATTGGTGAGATGAATTAGTCTCTACCTTTTCTAGCTCCCTCACAAGTCTTGATTGTATATCTAACTCCATTATTCAGGTATAACAGAAACAAATGGTGAGGAACTAAGTTGCCTAATACTAGAATATAGTCTCAATGCTAATACTAGCATGATGAACTAAACAGGCTATAAGGATATAGGTATTACATGTTCACCACTATTGTTTAGTATCTTTTAGTTCTGTTAAAAATGACCATTTGCAAACAGTTTTCCAAATAGATGTACAAGTCAGGATACAGAAAGGAAGCAAAAACTCAAAGATGCTAGCTTCTCATTTTGTCACAGAGAATACATGCACAAATTTCAGAGTCCCAAGCAGCACCTCTACAACCTAACAATTAGCTATTTCTTACTAAAAAAATAAGAGAAACAGGGTGAGAGAGACTCTAGAAGTAACAAAAAACTAAAAAGCTAACAAGATGCTAATCTTAAAGCACATTCTTTGGCTTTTCTCTTCCATGTAGGGCTACCACTCGAAAAGCAAGGTCACTACAACAACTTATTCCATAGGTGCTTTGTTTAATACATCTCTCTTACACAGGGCAAGCTAAACAGCTATGACTTTATTCTTCTATACACAGTAACGTAGATCCTATTCCCTGAAGGTACTGGTAAGTGTTAATACACACTGGTTTCTTTTGAGACAGGGCCTAGGCTGGTCTCGGACTTGCAATGAACCTCCTGTCTCAGCCTCCCAAGTGCTGTGATTACGGGCAAGTGCCACCATGCTTTGTTTTGTTTTTTCTTTTCAACATACTGTCTTAAAAGTCATATTCAATGATTATTTTCACTCACAGATATAAATTCTGAGAAAATAAAAGAGATGTTCAGGAAGCTTTACATATAGAGATGTCATCACATTACTATTTATACCAGTGAAAAATAATCCAAATGTCTAACACAGGGAAATAGTTATACTACAAGCTATTCATAAAATGGAAGAATCTATCACTGTTAACACCATGGAAAGCACTCAAAATATAATGGCGTGTGGAACAAACAAAAAATTACTTAGGAGGACGCTGGGCATGGTGACACATGCGTGTAATCCCAACACTCAGGAGCTTGAAGCAGGAGGATTGGCGCAAGTTCCAGGTCAACTTGGGTTATAGGAGTACAGGTCAGAATGAACTACACATTGAGATCCTGTCTCAAAAATACAAATAAACAAAACTTACATAGGATGAGTTCCACTTACTTTGAGGTTTAATGCATAAGAAAAAGGAAAATGTTAAGCCATTTTATTTAAGGTTAGGGTGTCAATTAATTGTGAAGCTGACTGCATTAAGAAATTCTGGGGTAGGTGGTGGCTGGATTGTGAGGGCACTATACTCATGGGTGGGTTAATACACTGATGTATATAGCTGAATGGTGGTTAGAAGGCAGGGTCTCACTGGAGGAGATAGATCACTGAGGTGTGCCTTAGGAGAGCATATTTCTCACTGGTACTCTTCCCTTGGACTATACTTCCTCACCACCATGAAATAAGTTTTGTTCAATCACACCCTTCTACCATAATGCTTCTGTCTTAGAGCCAGCTGACCATGGACTAAAGCCATTAAAAGCATAACTCAAAAACTTCTCTTAATTTGTATATGTGAGAACTTTTGCACCAACAATGGGAAAACTGACCAAAACAGAAAATCTATACCATGAAGTAGAGTTGTAGCTGTGAATACACATAACCACATAGCTCAAAAGTTTATGGAATTGATCTGTGGGCAGAATTTGGAATAATTTGGAGAATCAGAATGGAGAAAGCTAAAAATGCCAAAACTAGAGCCTGATGGGTAAATCCAGCAAAAGCTCAAAGGACCAGAATGGTGATAGGAATGTGGACATTGTAAAGGCCAGGCTCATGAGACTTCAGACAGGAATGATGACTCTACTAGGAATTAGAGTAGAGGCCATATATGTTATGCTATGGCAAAAAATTTTGTTTACATTTTATCCCTGTCATAAATTTTCAGAAGGGGCTGAATTTAAAGGTGGTTGACTAACTGATCTGGCAATGGAAATTTTAAGGAAGTCCAGAGCTCAGGTGGTGGCACAGATACTGCTGGCTGCTTTCAGTGACATCTACTGTGAGAATCAGGAGCAAAAAAGCAAAGGAGAAAAATTTGAAAAATTTAAATTTTGGTCCCCCCCAAAAAAAATGTCAAATTGAGATCAAAGGAGGCATGGTTGTAGAAGAGAATAACAACATCAAAAAAGTCAATTACTTTGAACCAGGCCAAAAAAATGTCTCCTAGGTGTATCAGTAATCAGCAAGACCTTACCCAAAACAGATTCAAGGTTACAAAGTACAAGTCTTTCCTTTAAGAAGAGAGCCTAGGTGCGCTGCTAAAGAAGAGCCACCAAGGGAACTGGTCCCTGCCATTCATTTCACTGTGCTCAGTCATCAAGGCAATTCACAATCTGTTCTAAGGGTCCTGGGATACTGCTTAACCTAGCTGCAGACCTTGGTATTCTCTATGTTTTTATCTTTGCAAGCACACAGAATACAAGAATTGTGGGTTCATGGAAGCTTCCACTCACATTTCAGAGGAAGGCCTGAGAGGCTAGGCAATGTGCCATTGAGAAGGAAAGTCATAGAGCTGAAGATGCAAGGGAGACTCCAGGAAGCTGGAGATGCCAGGAATGAGGAACTTCTCCCAAGAGTAGCTGTGAGCAGCCAGCAGAGCCAGTCTGAGAAGCTGTGCGGAAAGCAACACACAAGGCCCCAGGAGTGGGGACACCCAAGACTTCTGGAACTCATATCTTGCCATGGAGTTATAGGATTTAATGTTTGCCATGCTTGATTTTAGTCTTGTGTTGGTCCTATTCTTTTCTATTCCCTATTTCTTTTCTTTCTTTCTTTTTTTTTTTTTTTTTTTTTTGGTACCAGGGATCAAATTCAAGACCTCATGCTTAGCAGGCAGGCTCTTGAGCCACTGAGCTAAATCCCTGGCCTGCTATTCCTTCTTTTTGAAATAGGAATGCTGAACCTGTATATTATGAATGCGGAATTTGCTTTTTGCTTTTACAGGGCTTCACAGCTCTATTTTGCAGTTTCCTGTTATAAGAACAAAACACCCAACACCTGCAATTTAAAGAAGAGAAGGTTTACTCTGGTTCACAGTTTTAGAGAGTTCAGTCAATGCATGATCAGCTTGCTCCAAGGCAGAAACTGTATGGTGGAATGTTTTGGTGGCAGCCATAAAGCAGAGAGAGGGAGGTTTAGGGGCAAGAATATACACTTCTGGGTCATGCCTATAGTGACTCACCTCTCCTGACCAGGCCCCACCTCTTAACATCATATTGAACTCTGAACTCAGCAGTGGATTATTCCACTGATAAGAACAGTGTCCTCATGATCCAATCACCTTCCAGAAGTCCCACTTCTGAACGTATGAAAACTTCAGGGGACATTTTAGATCTAAGGTATAATAACAGCTAGAAGTCTGCCTGCTAAGCATGAGGTCTTGAATTTGATCCCCAGTACAAAAAAAAAAAGAAATAGGGAATAGAAAAGAATAGGACCAACACAAGACTAAAATCAAGAGGAGACATTAGTTTTGGACTTTTGAGCAATCTGGAACTGAAAAGACTTTTGGGAAGAAGTTACAATTATCCTGTATACAACAAAAAATGTGGTATCATGTTAAGTAGAATGATTATGTTTATTTGGAAATTAAGTATGGTCTAAGGAGATGTGATTAGATGTGAAGAAGACAAGGGCAGACTTGTGCTACTTACACTTATTTGTTAACTTGACTGGATTAAGAGACCCCTATAGGTGGCTGGATCATAGGGGCACTAGAATCATCAGTGGCTCAATCCACTCAAGTTCACAGCTAATGTCCTCTTAGGAGGCAGAGTACAGAGTGTCACTGGAGGGTGTGTATCTTGCTGGTGCTCTTCCCCTGTGCTGTTTCTCACCTGCCATGAAGTGAGCGGCTTTGTTCTATCATGGCCTCCTACAATGATGTTTCTGGTTTCACTGACCATGAATTGAAACCTCTGAAGTTGTCAAGCAAATAAACCTGTCTTTTAATTTGTGGGTTTCAGGTATTTTGTCCTGGCCATGTGAATGATGAACAACACAAAGTGGAATTTGGGTGGCTCATTTTTTTCTGCTCTTTCCAAACTTATTATAGTATGCATTTACTGTTTGGTCAAAATAGTTTAAGCACTTTAATAACGAATCTACGCATGGTAGGATTCAATTTTTCCAAGAAGCTACAATTAATACAGAATGCTTCTGCCTGATTAAACTACTGGACCTGCTGGGAACATAATACATTTGTTTCCTTGTAATCAATTTTCTTTCTAGAGCAATGTGAGATAACAGAAGCAACACCTCCTACATAAAGCTTCCAACATTTTGAGTTTTATCGTAGTAGATAAAACGGATATTTTTGTGCTTAGATCCCAAATCTGAGGACAGGAAGCCAAGTATTTCCTCCCCAGAGTCAATTTTCTCATGATTCACTCATATCAAGGTTTGAGAAGTAATACAATTGCATTTAAGTTACAAGCTGATAAGGCACCCTACCAAATGTCTTAATTTCAAATTGTTTGGAAACAAAGTGCTAAACATGTGTGAATCCAAATGACCTTGATACTTTACAATGAACAGAGTGAACAGAGTGCCAGTTAATCCTAACAGTGTCATTTAAATCAGAACATAGTTCCCAAAAAAGACTAGCTTACACAGGTAACAGACCATATATATATATATGTTGTTAACTCCACCCAAGGAAACAGCTTAACTCTTTAGCACTCTTCAGAGAAATACTATCTTCTCAATGGTAGATTATAAATATTAACTTTTTAGACAAAGGGCAATGTAATTCGTTGTACATGCAGTGACAATTTTAAATATCTACAACATTTTACAACATACTCATGACCAAGGAAAACACAAAACTAGCTAAGCAATTAAAGTTGGTACCTTGAACACATCTGAAGTGGCTATTTATAGGAATAATATCTTGAACGTGTTCTTTCTCTTGCAACTGGATTATAAACCTAGGAAACAGAAGAATGTATCAATGAATAGCTACTGCAAAAATCCAAATCTTCCCAAATCTTTAACAACAAAGTATTTGCTCTCTTGTTGCACAGTTGCAGTCTGTATTTATTAGACTGCATCTAGTGAATCTGAGCATCATGAAGGCTCTAGGGCTGTTAAGATTGTAAGTGGTTATCAATAGGAGAACAACCACACTATTCTATATGTCATAAAGAATGTGATAATCTGTTTTAAAAAAGCAGCACACAGACTTAAAAGCATGAACTAGAGTTTATAATATATATACCAGAGTAAAGTCAGCTAGACATGAACTACATGACAACAGGAACTATGGCTGTCTTTTTTCACCATGGTATTTTTAGTACCTAGCACAGATCCTGGCACATTACAGACACTAATGTGTGTTCAATCAATGAATTCAAAAATTTATACATTAGTTTTCCAATTACATTCCCATACCCTTTACCAGAGTTATTCATTCTCTTCAATCAAGCACACATGTTCATGGAGCTGGACTAGGAGGGGATACTCAGACAGCTTGACTGGTCAAAATAACACGTGACTATAAGGTATCACAACTGGAATGCCTTTGTGTCCCTTGTGTTTGTCCTTGTTTTTCAACTTCATGCTATTTCTTTAAGAACATAACTGAACTTGGCTTCCCAGTATGAAATACAAGATTTCTAAATACACATGTATTTCTGACATTTTAATTTTCATTTATTATGTATCCTTCCTTAGTTGCCAAGAATCAAAGTCTACCTGCCATTCTGAGTATCAACTAGCTTCCCTGAAGTCAAGTACTCTTTAGGTAGTACTTTTTATCTACAATATTTCTTTCTTCATCCTGAGACAAGCCAAAGAGGAAGATTTCACCATTACCCCAAGGAGAACCACTGGCTTACCCCTTTTATTTGCCCCATAACAGAATACTTACACATTGTAGTTTGCTTATATTTATTGTATCTCACTAATTTGAACTCTTTGAAATCCAGGACCCTATCTTATTCAGTTTTGTCTGCAGCATAACAGATGCTCAATAAACACTGGTTGGATAAGTGAACTAATTTAACTAAATCTTAGGCAAAGGTGAATTTCTAAATATAACTATTCAACTCTTGGCACTAAAATACCATTGCTTTGAAGAGTCTGAATTCTATTTTGTCTTCTTTATAAGGGGCTTATTTTTATTTTGGGGATTTTTTCCCCTAATGTGTCAACTTTGAAGGGGATCTCTTCAGGGTAAGTTGTTGCTTAGACAGAACTAGAAACTAAAAGTACTAACGCTGCAGAAAACACTATAATGTCAAAATATGTAGAACAGAAATGGTGTTTATCATTAAAACTAAAGCTTCAACTGAACTATAATTGTTAAAAACCATCACAAGACACACTGATAATTTAAGTGAATTTATGTAGCATTTACTGTTAGACATTTAAAAATCGAAGCAAAAGACTAATAAGCATAAAATGTCTAAACAATTATTTAACAATTGAATGATTTAAAATAATAGGTATATGGAAATACAATAGAAATTCAACAGCTTCCAATCTATTATAATAATTTATTAACCTTGAAAAATAAATCTTTTTTGATCCTGTTTCCAAATAAACTCAGCTTTAACTTTTTCCTCAAGTAAATTTCTCCTATGGTTGATAGTAGGAACCACTGATATAAATATTAGAGTTCTAGGATAAAAAGTTCAAAAATAAAAACTTGAACACCCACGTCAGAGAAGGCATTTCAGAGAATAGAACCTAGGGATTTCAGATAGCATTATGACTGTAGGTGTCCCTAGAAAATTGTTGCAAAAGAAATGTCTCAATGTAATTCACAAATAGTTTGCATAGATTCAAATCTCAACTATCTAATTCCCAAAAGTTAACAAGTGACTTAACGTCTCTGTGCTCAATCTTTTTGGTAAAATGGAGATGATTTAATATTTTAAGGATTAAATAAATTAATAAAAACTGCTCAGAACAGCACCTGGCACATATCAAGTGTTCATGTGTTGTCACACCCTCACAACAGATAGAATTGGAATATGAGAATTTGACCTCCCTGTGGGGAAAATACAAATAGTCAGGAGAACTACACCTGCCAAGTTATAAAGTTCTTCTAGGACAAAGGCCCAGATAGGATGAGGCACTTATCACAAGGCTAGCTGCTTACTCCCTTGTTAGCTGAATAGAGTTCTAAAGCTAATAAACAAGGGAGTACATCCTGAGCTGAGGTCATCTCAACAATGTTATTCATTTATCATAATTTTGTTTTTTACAAAAGAGAAAACCAAGACACACATGCAAAAACAACTGGCTTGCCTAAGGGTCACATATCTTCACCCATCCTAACCTTTGGAAATGGTAGTGGTGTTTCACTTTTCAATTCAGTTTTCTGCTGAATTTAATTTTATTAAATGGTCTCCCAGGGTTTGATGAAATCTGGGAAAACCAGCATGAATTTCTCATACCAACAGAATTGATTAAACAGCACCCTGGAAAGAACTACTTCATAGCACTAGATGATGTTGATACACTAGCACCAACAGTCTTAGCTAAGTGCAAACTAGGCTTGTGGGAATTTCTTCTGTGTAAATGAAGGACCATAAACAGAATTAAAAGTAGAGCTTGCGAAAAGCTGTTTTTATGTAGAAACTAATGTTAGGAGATGGCAAGGTTTATGTGACCAACACTTTTTAAACTAAGAAAATATTTTCAGAAGCCAGTGAACAATCAAGGGAAGTGGCTCTGTGCATACAGGAATGGAAGTGTCTGATCTGCAATTGTCACTACAGTTAACTTTTAAGACAAGGCATCAGAGGCAAAGTGGTGAGGCTAGCAGCTGTGGTGATAACTTATCAAAATAATCTTTTGCTCAACTAATCAACAACATTTACTGAGTTCCTGTGTCCAAGGCAGAGTGGGAGGTGTCACATGCTGATATAATGCCAAATGTCATTTATATTTCTACCGATCTCATTTTCTTTTCATTAGTCAGGTGAGGCTGAACTAGTGATTACACTTTCAAGCAAGTGGAATAGGAGAGTGGGGGGACTGGAGGAACTAGCTGAAGGAGACTAAAACAAGAAGTCTGCAATGTTAACAATGAAGCATTAGCACAGCACTTTTACTTTTCGCGAAACACTTTTGTGTTTATTACCCAGTTCCATCTCCAAAGGCTATAAGGCAGTTAATGTTTTATTCAACTGATGAGGAAACGAAGACCCAGAAAGTCTTACCGACTTTACTGGAGGTTACACAACACATGTCAGTTGCAGAGGCAGGAACTAAGAACCTAGGCTTCCTACTTCCCTGCCCATTGAGTCCTTCCACTGAGCAATGCAGCCAAGAGCAATCTACTGCCTTGGAAGTTGGGGACAAAGCCCTGTAGTTACAGACCACTCGCGCTTCACACCTGGGCATGAACCTGTTGCCCGAGTGGCCTAGGTGGGAGAGCAGGTGGTTGGTCGCGGTTAGGGCTGAGAGTTAATGGCAGGGTGCCTTCTCCTGTGGGAAATCAGATGGTTACTTACTCATACTGTCCGTTCCTCTGGGCAAGAGTCAGGGCGCAGGGCTCCCGGAGGGGACCCTTCATCTCCAAACCCTCGATGGTATGTGGGCGCTGGTCAAGGGTCTCCTTTTCAGAAGTGTGGACAGAGAGGGGTGACGCGGAGCCCGGCGGTCGGACTCTAGACTCCCCCTCCCCTTGCCGCCTCCCTGTGCCCCCAAGCATCGCTTCCCGTGCTCCCCCTCCCCTGCTCTGCTCCGACACTGGCCCTGGCGGCGCCCCCCGCCCCGCGGTGCTCCGCAGTCTCCAGGACCTCCACCCCCGGCCCTGCGCAGCCTCCCCTCCCCCTTCGCACGAGCGGATACGGCAAGGGGCTGGGCTCCGATCGGGAGCAGCGGCTCCATTCGGGCGGCCTCCAGGCTCAGCGGAGCTGCGGACCGCAGGCAAATCCGACGACACCGCTTCCCGCCTCCCACCACCTACCCGCCTAAGCTGCGCGTTGTTTAAGAAACAGCTCTGCTCTAGGCGATAGGAGCCAAAGAGCCGGAGACGAGAGCTTGACCCGAGAGAGAGCGGCACCAGTTTTCCAGGCCTCCTGTTTTCCAGGCCGCCGCAGATTCCGCCCCCTTCGGCCAACCTGGGGAACTGCAGCGTGAACCTCTCGGACTAGGGGTGTCTCTACCCTGTCCAGCAAGCAGTATGTTTTAAATGCTACTTTGTGACGTAGCAGAATTACAGTAGTCTGTGGACACGAAAGGTTGTCACCGAAACAAAAGACAGACATACCTGTGAGGGAACTCAGACGTATTGGGCCAATAGAAATCACAACATCAGTGAAAAGATCCTTATAAATGTTGGTCATCTGAGTGTTCTCCCCTTCTTCCTTCCATCCCCTGTACTGGAAAATTTTCAAAAGCTCGGATCTTTGCTCCTTGACATCCCCTTCAGGTCTGCTTAAAAGTAAGGAAAGTCCAACTATATATCTCTGGTCCTACCTCATATACACTATTGTGACAAAACTCCACTCATCACTTTGCACAGCCACCCAGCCTTGAAACCGCAAAACATGTGCTTTATTCCCCTCTCCTAATCTCTGTATCTAATCAGTCAACGAGTCTTGCTAGTACTGTCTTTGGAATAGCTTTCAAATTCTTTTTCTTTAGCTGGGCTTGGTGGCTCACGCCTGTAATCCCAGCACTCCGGAGGCTGAGGCAGGAGGATCTTTGCAAATTCGAGACCAGCCCAGGCTACAAAGTGAGCTCAAGGCAGCCTGAACTGCATAGGAGACCCTGTCTCAAAAAAAAGACAAAAAAAATTCTTTTTCTTTCCCTTCACACTTCCATCACTTTATTGCAAGCCCTTGTGATAGTTTATCTGGGTTACTCCTCCCCCACCATCTCATTGCTTTTAATATTTCCTTTGACCTTTTTATTCTGTTGACAGATACAAAAATATTCTTCACAAAGTAATGTTTTAATTGTGTTATTCATTTGCTCCAGAATCTACACTGGACTGGAAATCAAGACTTTTAATCTATAGTAAAAGTGTGATATGGAGATAAGAGAGACCAATGGAACAAAATAGGAAGCTTCAAACTGGACTCTTTGCCCAGTATACATATTTGGAAAACTGATATTCAGCATATGTGACATTTCAAATCAGTGAGAGGATGGATTATTTAGTAAATGGTACTGGGACTATTGATTTCCCAAACAAAATATTATTAAATTAGAGTAGGACCTCATACCATAGAAAGAAAATCCATTCTGTGTGGGTTAAAGATCTAGGTGTAAAAAGCAGTACATTTCAATTTTCACAAGCAAAGTAGAGAATGGAAGCCTGGGGTGTAGCTCAGTGATCTAGCACATTTTTAGCAATAAAGAAGAAGAAAAGAATATTTGCATTATTTTGACATAGGGAATGAGAATGATACCAATAGTTACGTCAAATTTTGAAATGTATGTACTTTACAATATGAACAAGTTACAAGACAAACCACAGAGTGCAAGAAGATACTTTTTAGTGGCATATACTTGAAAAAGAATAATCTATCAGGTTATATATTTTTAGCTGTCCTCATCTTTTTGTCTTCCTATTCTATTATTTTTTCCAACTTGCTCTGCTTCATTTCACTGGCTTCTTGTTTTTCCTTGGACTCTCCAGGTATAGTTTTGCCTCAGGCTCCTCGCACTTAATGTTTCGGACTCTCAGCTCCTTCAGGTTTTTGAACTTTCTCAGTGAGACCTTCCTAGGTCATTTTATTTAAAACTACATGTCAATAATCCCCATCTCCATTCCAACATGTACCTTATTCCTTTTTTCCTGTTCATTTTTCTTCATAGGATTTATTGCTATGGTCTGTTTCTTTCTTTCTCTGTCTCTCTCAGTGTCTCTCTCAGTCTTTCTCTCTCTCTCTCTCTCTCTCTCTCTCTCTCTCTCTCTCTCTCTGTCTTTCTCTCTGTCTCTCTGTCTGTCTCTCTGTCTGTGTCTCTCCGCTGAGTGCTGGGATTACAGGTGTGCACCACCACACCTGGTTCAGCTTTGTTTTGTTCTATCTCAAGTTTATGTGTCCTTCCCCTACTACAGTGTAATATTAGGGTAATATTTTGTGTGTTTTGTTCAGAACTGTGTTCTTAGTGCCTAGAACCATTACTGAAACAGAGTAGATGCTAGAAAAATATTGATTAAATGAATTGATTGAATACACTAATTACTATCCAATGTGTAAAACAACTCCTGTAAGAAAAAGAAACCTAGTAGAAAAGTTGACAAAATATATGAACAAGTAGTTTAGAGCCAGTGAAACTCAAAGGGCCCATAAAGACCTGAAAGGATGCCTAATTTTATTATATTCAGGAACATTAAAAAACAAAACTATGAAATGTTATTTCACAATAATAAAGTTTGGCAAAAAATTTAAAAGTCAGATAATGCCAAATGTGTTGATGATGTAGAACAGATAGAACTCTGATTTCCTGCAATAAGAAAGACAAGTTGGTAAGATTGTTATGAAGTTCAATTTGACAATGTCTAACAAAGCTAACAATACAGTACTCTTCAACTCATAAATTCAGTACTTAGGTATAGAGCCTTTGTATTAGAGAGACAAATGAATAATGTCCATTGCTGCAGTATTTGTAATCTCAGAAGCTGGAAGCAAATTAAATGCCAGTTGGTAAGTGAATACATAATCATAGTATGCATTAAATTAAATATAGTACTATTTTGAATTTAAAATGAGGTCAGGAGTGTGGCTCAGTGTTAGAGTGTTTGCATAGCATGCACGAGGCCCTGGATTTAATCCTCAGAACTATTAAAAAAAGGAAAAATAATTAAAAATGAATGAATTTGATCTTTAGTGTATGCAATAACAGTTAAATTTCAAAAATATAATGATGATCAAAAACAAACAAAACATATTCTGTATTTAGTTAATATCTGAAAGTATCATCTGTAGCTCATGTACAATAGACGTGTAGTACTCCTATACAAAACACTAAGGAACACTAACAACAAATTTAAGAAAAGACTAAGACTAGAGAAGGGTACACTACAGGAAATACTAATGTGTTTAGAATACTTAATTCTTAAAAAACAATCTGAAATTTAATGTTGCAAGACTTGTTAAATGGGGGGCTTGTATTTGTTAAATGGGGGGGGCTTGTATTGGTTATGTTATTCCATGTGCTTTTCTGCATTGGAAATCATTTGAAATAAGTGAAAATGGAGCACAAAGAAATAATCTGTAAGGGAAGGTTAGCAATATAAAATGCTAAAAGTAGGTCAAAGAAATTGAAGCTCAAAAGACTTTATTTAGATTTGTTGAGGCCTAAAGCCTGCCAAATTGTGGTGCCACTAAGTGGTGAGGATAGGAACAAATTTGTTTCTTTTTATGGGCTGAGGATCAAACACAGGGCCTGGGGCATACTAGGCAAGTGCTCTATCACTGACCTTACCTCTAACCCTAAAGCCTGTTATATTTGAAAGTAATTTTTAGATTGAAAATTCTCACTTCCAAAGACTCCATAATTATTGAGAAATCACAGCCATTCTAAATTAAATTAGTTATGCATCAATAATTTCTAAAGCAAAATTACAAAAGCTCTTCAAACATTTATAGTAAAATATAAATATTTAATGCAGGATGTGGATGCATTTTAATGTATTTCATATAATTCTGGTTAAAATGTTCACAAGTGAGAGTGCTTAGGCTTGTGAGAGCAAAAACAGGCCTGCCTGACACAGATGAGGTTGGGAAAGAAGATTTTGATTAGGTGAGTCTGCAGCCAGATATTGAAAGACAGGCCCAGCAGAGACATAAATGATTCATTGATTTTTAAATCACCACTAGTTGAAAAGACTTGCTTTTCATATACACAAATCCAACATTTGTATTGCTTTTCATACAAGCAGCATAAAGAAGAGCTCAATTTTATTTACATGTTTCTATTTTACATACTTACGATGTATTTCTGTTTGTGTGTTTCTATTTTCATCCCTTATAGACTTTGGGGTGAGAAAGACTATCACCTACACTCCTGGTGAGATAGTGACAGGTCCAGCAGACAGTAGAACCTGGCTTCCTTTAGCATATTATGCCATCTGGGTCCTTCTTCTCTCCTTTTAAGTCTCACCTCCCCATTGCCACCTCATCTTACTCTAACTAGTGTCATAATTTCTTTCACCACCCACTCCAGGGTATTTTCACCAGCTAGGCTCTCCTTTCTACTTAGTGAATCCCATAGGCAAGTATGGGATTGTCAAGGTCTACCTGCCTCTCTCTGTCTCTCTCTGAAACTGGAAATGCTGAATTGAAAAAAAAAAAAACCATAGAGTCAGCTTGGTATTTAAGGCTCCAAGGGTCTGTCCAGAATGCATCTTCCCAGAATGATCTCCTAAAATTATTCTTTACAAATTTTATACTCTAGGCATCGTTCTCTTTGAAATTGAACAGGTGCAGTAGCTGGTGGCAATCTGATGGGTGCACTCATGACTCAAATCCTTATATAGTTGATTATCCATCTGAATACCATTAGCTTGACACTTTTGTTTTGTTTAATAGAATGTGAAATTACAAAAAAAGATCATAAGCTGTTTTATATCCTCAAAGAACGTAGAGAAGCTACTGTTGAAATACAAAACATAAATGAAAAAAATTATACACATTCTCAAGATGACACTTATCAGAGCCATGCATTAATCTGATAAAAATTCTGATATAGCATACAAAAATTTCTCAAGTACTTTGAAAACCCTGAAAGAGAAAATAGAATTGTGGCTAAGTTCAATTTGGTTTCTCAGTTATTGGGAATAAAATTATCCACATCTGAAAAGTAAAATGATGAGAACTCTATTCTTACCATTTAGAAACAAAGCCCAAAGTCAAAATGGACCAAAGATCTAAAAGTTAAAAGAGAAACAACCTGCTGCAAGATAAAACACCTAAAACTCTTAAAGACAGAGGCACAGACCAGGACTTTCTGAACAGAATCCCAATCAAAGAAGAAACAACACCAAGAATCAACAAATGAGGGGCTGGGGGTTTAGCTCAGCGGCATAAGCGCCTGCCTTGCAAGCAGGCAGTCATGAGTTCGATCCCCGGTACCGA